AGGCTTAATCTCATTCTCTCGTCCTAACACTTAGCTCCCTCCCAGCCCTGTTTTCTTGGCTGATTTCTACTCCAGAACTCTCGCTGGGATACGGGTCTTTGGCAGGCAGCGTCCTGCGTGCACACGTGCTGCTGAAGGACAGCTGACTCTTAGAATTGAATTCTTTCTTCCAGCCTGAAACACTCCTCTGGGATCCCCTCTCGGCCATTCCCCTCTTCCTAGGGAACGGCAATCACATTGTTCAGCCTCGTGCATCAAGGTGGCAAATCTAATCCAGCAGAGATTAGTTTCAACCCAGTTTTACCTTCTAATGCGCGGGCCTGTGGGGAAGGAATTCAGCCCGCTGGAGAGCAGGTGCCTGCTGCTCCCATCCAGGGCAGGCAGGAGCATCCCTCAGCCCCGTCCCAGCCGCGGCAGGCAGGATGGCTGGTGTTGAGCACTTAAGCAGCCCAGTGAGAGCTTGGCCTGCTGATTGGAGATGCCGTTTTGGAAAGGGAGGAAGGATCTGGCTTTCCTCAGGTCATGCAGGTAGCTGGGACTTGTGTGGCTGAGTTTATTGGCTTAGAAAAGCCTCTCTGCCCAAAAAAGGCTGTTCAGGGCAGGAGCGGGGGAGAGGCTGGGGTTTATTAAACACTTCTTATTAATAGAACATGCCCCTTAAAATGAGAGCTTTAGCAAAGGGCTCTAGGAGGAACTTCAGCCATTCGGCTGAGTCTGAGTCACTGGCCCTGGGGACTGAATTCCTGTGTGCTATTGTGAGTGTTTGCCTTATCGCAGTCTCAGCCCGGCTTGCATACAATGTGGAGGGTGGAATGCCTTTGAAATACGCTCCCCTCTTGCTTCCTTCCATCTGGAGCAGAGCTGTGACACTGGTGGGCTGTCCCATTCCCCTCCAGCTGAAATGCAAGGGTGTGAGGTATGTGCAGTGTCACCCATCCTGCTCTCCTACCATGCTGCTGGGGCTGTTGCACCTCTGGGCACATGTCCCTCGGCCATCATCCCTTTGGCCTTCACCATTTCTGTGCTGCTTCTTGCTCCCAGAGAAATAGGGGGCTCGGGCCGTGGCGGGAGCGGGGTTTGAGGAGGGTCTTGGCCTGGGCTGTGAGGGGTCGTAGGCTATGGGAGGCACTTGGCTTGGGCCGTAGGGCTGGCAGGCCGGGGGAGGGGGGGGGTGTGTGTGTGTGATGGTGGGGGCCTTTGGAGGCAGCCTCGCAGGGTTTGTGAAGCACTTGAGGACTTTTCAGTAGTGGTACAAAGACTGTGATGTGGGAGAGAGAGGGACTGGTATGGCCTGTGATGGAGGGGGGCCCTTGGTAAAGCCTAGGGGAGGAGAAGCAGAACGTGAGAGTTGCAACCTTATTTTGGGAGGGGAGTGATGTGTTTCTAAGCCCTTCTGTAAATATGCCTTGTGCTGGGAATCTGCTTTTGGGAACAGCATGTGTGGTTGTCTGCTATGGTACAGCGTAACAAGGGAGTTGGGTCTGTTTGTTTTGCAGAAGGTTCTGAGTTCCCACAGCCTCCTCAGGTTGCAGGAATGTACTTACTCAGTGCTTTGGCTATAATTTGGAAATAGTACTTAGATGCTTGACTTTTGTTCCTGGCGTTAGATTCAGTGCTCTGTTCACCAATTGGCACAACTGGGAAGAGAAACTTATTCCTAGGGGGAACGTCAGGTTTTGCATGGTAACAGTGCAACTGCCGTTTCTTAATTCAGTTTGTGTTTTGGGTTTTTTTATCTCTCACTTTGCTTTTCTTTTTCTCCTTTTACAAAAGGACAGTGTAAGTTGTGAGAGAAACGAATGCAAAAAATAAGTCTGATTATACAAAGTAATTACTGGGGTAGGTGGAAGGAATAACTGTATCTGTTCTGTGTGTCATAAATTACAGTAGCAAGCAAAGACACATCTAGGCAGATGTATGCTTTGTGGCAACAAGTTTTATTCAGTTGTGTTGTATCTCTGCTTTGTTCCTTTCTCTTTGTTTTTGGTTTGTTTGTTGTGGGTTTGGTTTTTTTTTTTCTGTATCCATTGGCTAGTTTTCAGTATGTTTCTGAGGTTAGATGTCCTGGACAGATTCAACTCCTACAGTTTTTATGAACTGTAGGCACTGGGTAGAAGAGAAATTCAGCTAATGGAAAAAATGTGCTGTGCTCACAGTCTTTTTTAGATGAGACAGAAAATGTGATGGGATGGCCAGTGACAGTGTGGGTGTGGGCTCTGCCTTGGCAGGTGTTTTTGCAGCTTTCCTGGAGAGGCTTTTCAACTTACTGTCTTAGAGAAGCTGAAGCAAACTATTTCTCTTTGCCAGCATATGTACAGCTCCTTCCCAACTCTCTTACAACAGGACTTTCAGTTCAGAGCACTGAAGAAGGTCCGCATCTTTGATGCTCCAGATGATCTTCCCAAAGAGCGTTCCAGTCTCCTTGCGGTGTCTAACAAATACGGGCTGGTCTTTGCTGGTGGAGGAACCAGCCTGCAGGTCTTTCACACTAGAAATCTTCTCATGCAAAACCAGCTGGGAGAAGATCCCAATAAAATTGGTAAGTCACACTCATGTCTCATGTCTTTGCAGAGGCAGCTTTGTACAGGTTTTTATGATATGGAACTCTTGGTTTCTGGTACAGTCTTTGTCATGCTCTTTTGTGCACTTGAAATTACAACATTTTCTTGCATGAGAAGGCAGGAGCAATATTTGCTGTATCTCTACCTGAAATGAAGTACACTTGTTGGGAAGATGTCACCAGGATGCTCTGTGCTAGCTCCTGTTCAGGTGTCATTCAGGTTTCATCACCTGTGTCAGTGCCATACAGTGAGGTTGACTTTTCCTGCTTCAGAATTTACCCCTTTCCTTGCAGCCACACACTGTCTTGGTAGCCAGTCTTTGAGCTGTGAACCTGTGCATGCCTCGGGGATGTGTGTGAGTGGAGGGACAGAGCTCTCATGAGGAGTCATCTACTCTGACTAAACGACTGCAAGAGAGGAAACAATTGCTGTTCCACCACCTGAGTGCAAAATGGTTTTGTTCTCCTGTTGTCCTTAGTAACTGTACCACTTGAGGTATTCATGTGCATGCATAAGTAAAACAGAAAATCTGTCCACTTAATTGTGGTTGGGTTTTTTTTCAGGTTACTGAGGAAGGAAAGTAGAATTTCTTAGGAATTTGGCAACTCTTGAGGCTGTATTGATAGAGATGAAAGGGTTTGCTTTCACTCAGGTTTTTTCCTACATGTTAGCTTTGACAGCAGCTGTTAATAGGACTGGTGATTTTTGCATAAGCTTGTTCTAACTGTTTACAAGAACAGTTCCTGCTATTTAAATTTGTCCCCTTCATTCTATTTTCCTTTCCTTTTGTGTTTTAAGTGGAGAATGTTCAGAGTACCTTAGTTCCCATGAAGTTTCCTGTGCAGCACCTGGCTCTCAGCTGTGATAATCTCACGCTGTCCGTCTGTATGATGTCCAGTGAGATTGGTTCCTTCATTGGCTTTTTTGATGTCCGCACGTTCTTAAATCAGGTAAAGCATATGCAAAGTGGCTTTGTTTGGTTTTGTTTTTTTTCAGAATGCAGCAGGAGAGACATAGTTTGGGTGGGATTTTCTGTCTGTGGGAGATGTCTTGTAAAGGAATTGTTCAGTAACCTCAAAATCTGCTTGTTGTTTTTATCAGTCATTAATTTACAGGAGGGTTGAAACTGCTTTGAATTACAACTTTAGGAGAACTTAGTTCTGTGCTCAGCTTTTGACTGACGTACATGTATTTGTCTTTCCTAAAAGGCAAAACAGCAGAAACGTGCATTTGCTTACCACAAACTGACCAAGGACTCAGGAAATGCAGCAATGGTCAATGACCTCAAGTGGAACCCTGCCAGCCCTGCCATGGTGGCCATCTGCCTGTCCGATGGCAGCATCTCCGTCCTGCAGGTCACTGACTCTGTGAAGGTGTATGCCACGCTACCTTCCTCCGTAGCTGTGACATCTGGTGAGTGGCATCCTTGGACAGCATACAGAAAGCCAGACAGTGACAAGTAGAAGCGTATTGATAGGTGTCAAAAGACAGGCTGTTTGTCTGTGAAGGAGTTTTCTTACCAAAAATAAAAAATCTTCATAGAAAGGAAGAATTTAAACTCCTGAGACTTGGAAAATGTGTTGCAATGTAACTGCTTTTTCCCAGTTGATTAGAAGAGCTGCATCTTGTAAATTAGTTAAATGTGCCCACCTGTGGTTTATGCTGTCTCAGGTTTGACTTCCTTTCCAAGGAAGCATGTGACTAGGAGTCATCATCTGTTGGGTCTTGATCTGTGCAGCCTTGCTTTCTCTGTGACTGGATGGCTCCCTGTTTAATTCAGACTAATGATTTTATTTTTTTTTTTCAGGGGCAAAGTGGTTTAAATTTATTGGTTCTGCTTTTGTGGGGCCTTTAACCTTTAACTTTCCTGTTCCTTAGTGTTAATGAAATTTTTTTTTTTGCTTAGTGTGTTGGAGCCCAAAGGGAAAACAACTGGCTGTGGGGAGGCAAAATGGCACTGTGGTGCAATATCTGCCTGTAAGTATTGTTGCTAGTAAGGCCTCATGTCTCATCACTAGTTTGCAGTATGCTTTATTTTCTTTGCATCGCAAGCTCCAGAATTTGGTCATGTGGCACATGGTGTGAGCCATGTGAATATGCCCAAGCACGTCAGAAATATTAGTGTTTTAGACCAATGTTTGGTTTAGTTTAAGGTTTGCACCTATGACTGAGAAGTCTTGGTTTCAGAGTGGTGCATGATCAGTGTTAAAGAGTGGGTGAATTTCTCTAAACCAGTTCTCTGGGCTTTCTCCAAAACTTGCAGTAGGCTTTGTTTGTTGGCTTTCTCTTTGTATTTAAGAGTATTTTTGTTTGCAGAATCTGCAGGAGAAGAAAGTAATCCCTTGCCCTCCCTTCTATGACTCGGACAATCCTGTTAAAGGTACATCTTTTTACTCCTTTTTTAACCTGTTTTCTCTTTTAAAATATTTTCACTTACTCCTCCTCACATTGTTTTAGCTATCTCAGCAGTATATTGTACTGATTAGGTAATTAGTGTGGTTTTTAAATATTTTGAAAAAAATAATTACATGCTTTGTCTCTGGGTTGCACAGAAAAATTACCAGTTGGCCAGAGTCCTTGTCTATTTCTAGAATGTTTTACATAGGCGTTCTACAAGCTATTTTTTGCTCATTGATCTGATAGACAGTACTGTCACAAGTAATTTCCTTTTAGCGTGAAGATTTCTGGATATAAATCCCATTCTCATGTTTCCTGTGAGTTTCATCTCATCATTTTGACTCTTCAATAAAATGTCAAAGCAGTAAGCTTAGAAAAACAGAAACACTTCCTTTGGATCTGCCAAAACATCATCCGTGTTTGGAAACACTGCCGTTATCTCGCCTGTGATATCATCAAGCAAATCAAATATATTCTTTTGGTTTGTGTTTGAAATTTCTGGGATCAAATATCTTTTCCCCCAATAGGATTGATGTTCTGCAGACAAAGAATTGAAATTCTTTATCTTGGTAGTTTAGAAGTTAGTGATTGTTTACTTGTTTGTCATTTTGTGTGCTATGCACAATTAAAATTGATATACAAGGAGTGTCGTTCTGATGTGTTTCTGGCTGAGGTATTTGTTTCCTTCTCTTTCAGTGTTGGATGTACTGTGGATTGGCACATATGTCTTTACTATTGTATATGCAGCAGCTGATGGGACACTGGAAACACCTCCAGAAGTGGTCATAGCCATATTGCCTGTAAGTGCCAGCAAGTCACAATGACAGAAGTGTTTGTTGCTTGTTCATGACTTGTTTATTGCAATGACAGGTTGGTTTTATTAGTAGTTGTTTTTATTATTCACATTGGCATCGTGTAGAATTTGAGTTTGGTGCTACTGCAAATCATGGGTTGGGGGCTTGGGGGTTTGAGTGGAGGGAGTAGTATCCACTCAAAACCCAATCAGTCACCTGTTCTCTGCTGAGATCAAATTTATGACATGGAGACTCCTGGCCTCTGAAATAAACACTTGGGAAGAAAACCTTACCTGATGTAGAGTCTTGATATATTTTGTGTGTGTATGTGTGGGTTGTGGGTTTTTTTGTTTTGGTTTTTTTTTTTAGGTTAAGGAGACTTTCAGGCCTGCAGATGTGTTCTTATTTAGTATCAGGTTTTCCATTGTGGGGTGGGGGTTGAGACCTAAATTCCCTGGTAAACCCTTTATTGTTCCTTTATCTTTTGGAGGAGGGTTTGAGTTTGTTTGCTTTGTTCTTTGTTTTTCAAGTGCTGTCATGATGCCTGTTCTCTCTTGAAGTATGTGGCAGTTATTGCTGTACCCTGGTGCATTCATATTTATGGGAGGTTACTTGATTTCTGTATTGGAAGGTAAATTACCACTGTTGGTCTTACAGAAAAAGGAAGAGAAGCGACCAGAGAAGTTTGTGAATTTCATGGAGCCTTGCTATGGGAGCTGCACAGAGAGACAGCATCATTACTTCCTCAACTATGTTGAGGAATGGTGAGTGGTGGGAATCATGGCAAGGGCTTTCCCTTGTTACGCATATCTGAGCGGGCAGTGCTTCTTCCTATATTAGAGTTTACAAAAAGGAGGAATATATAATACCTGAACACGAGAGAATTCTGAAAGTACAGTTAACTTCTCCAGCATGCTTTATCTCCATGCCAACATACTTGTTTGTCTGGTGAGAATGAATATGATTTCATGGAGGTATATAAGATTTTAAACCATCTGTCATAACCATTTCCCTTGAGGTTGTCAGTCATAAGTTGGGTAAAGCATAACCTCTTGTCTCACTTAATTGTGTCTCTGTGTGAAGAAGCTGTTCCTAACTTTTCAACTACCTGTCTTGGACCATGATTATTTACAATGATAGAGTGTCTGTCAAATCATTGGTTGGCAAGGGGATTCAGCCCCTGGTGACTAGTTTTAAATGAAAAATAAAAAGTTCCATGGTGATGTAGCAATCATGTTTCCCTCATATTGGGAGGAAAAGTCAGGTTTATATTTTTTATAACAGCATTCCTAGTTATGAATTTGTGTAGATGATAATGAATTGTGGAGCTGGGGACCTCGCCATGGATTGTCATGTTGATTTTAACCTATTTGTGCCCATGTTTACAGGGATCTAGTTCTGGCAGCTTCGGCAGCTTCCACAGAAGTCAGCATTCTTGCCAGGCAAGGGGATCAGGTAATATGTTTGTTTCGTTTGTGCTTATGTACCTCCTCCGTCTCAAACATCTAAGCGAGCATAACCTCTATAAGACCTGCAATACAATGAGATGGTATATTTTTTTAAAAACACCTCAAACCCAAACAAACCTCCTTTTCTTAAATCTGAGTTGTACAGAATCTTAAGATAAATATAATTCTTGGATGAACAGGAGATCTGGGTGACACCAAAGAGAAGGGGTAAACAGAAGCACAGTGTGTTGTGAACCAAGTATCATAAATCTGTTTTTTGTGATTCACGTGACAGTCTCAAAACTTTTCAAGCTCACTATAATAGTGATTCATGTGAAGTCATCAGCTGAAGTCATACGTTAAAACTGGCTGTAACTGATGTGCCATGATGTGTGAGAAATCACACACAAGTCTGTGAAGGGCCCTGATAGTTCTGGCATTTGGTAATCTGACAAACTTAAGTGGATGTCCTCTAGCTTTTTTGCTGTCTTATCTTTCAACTGTAGTAGACTAGAGTTCTGAAGAAGGCTGATCACAGGAAAGCAGTAGTCAATATAATAATCTTAATTTTTTGCAGAACTGGGAATCATGGGTTTTGGAGGACTCCAGCAGAGCAGAACTTCCTGTGACAGATAAGAGCGATGACACGCTGCCTGTTGGCGTTGCTGTAGACTACACCAGTAACATGCCTATCCCGATCAGTAAGTCTTGTCAATCTTTCTTGTGGAGTAGTCAAATAATAGCAATATATGTGATACATTTGAGGGGCAGCCTGATGCTCAGGGTTCTGGGAGATCATTCTGAAAAGGAGACCAACACACATCTTGCCCTTTTACACCAAGCACACAGCTTGCCTCTGTGTAAGGATTCAAATGGCCAGGTGTTAAATGCAGTTCTTCCTCAAAGCTTTTAGCAGCCTGGGGTACTCCACTGACAGACATGGCAAATAAAGCACCTGAGTTATGTCTGTGTTTCACAGAGCCAGGATAACAGTGAGTATAAAGGAGTCATAGTCTAACACCAGGGATTTCAGACTGCCTGTGAGGTTTTCTTTATTCTTGTAGCTTATATCATTTTGCAGAACTGTTTTGTATGAAGTACATCTGCGCTGATCTAAAGGGAAAGTGGGTTAGTTTCAAAGCCAGAAAAAGCAAAGATCATTGAGGTGAATACGTAGGTTTTAATTCTGCACTGAAGCACAGGGCTGGTACTGACTGAACCCTGCTGTGCTCTACATCTAGCCAGTTGCATTATTGCTGTACCTTCTGCGCTGCCTGAAGGCTCTTTAAAGCACCTTGTCAGAGGCTGAAGCTGAAGGTACATCTGAGCTATTGTGTTGTACCTTAGTGAATTCTGAAAACTCTCCCTTGAAACCTAGAGCCAGACTGAAATAGAGATGCCTTCAGGCAGAGTGGCAGGTATTGCAGTCAGGAGTTCCTGAAGAGCACAGGAGGGTGCCGATTAACTGAGAACTTTACCTGAATGGAAACCTCCAGAAGGGAATTGAGGTCATACTTTGTACTTGAATGCAAAATTGAATTTGAAGCATTTTCTCTGTTAATCTATACAGTTATTGGATTAAAGAATTTGCCAGGACAGCTTTTTTCTTAAGCCCGGGTTGTGCTACCTTAGAAATTTCTAGAAAGGTTTTTGGAGAAGCATTTTGCTAACGCATTCTCTGTGTTCTCACAGAGTGCAATCAGCTTGGTTTTGGCTGCACATTAATTTGCTTTGCAGTTCACAGCAAGTTTGGATTGCATAGAAACCTCATTTGTCCCGGAGCTTGTTCCCAGGTGGAAACTGCCCTTGCCTAGTGTGCTTTTCCTGAAGAACCAATAGGTAGAGAAACATGGCCACCCACTGCACTGCCTGACAAACAAAGCACTGTGATTATAGCAGATTTTTCCTGCATCCTAGGTCTGTTGGGTTTTGTTGTTTAAGCACAGTTAAACCGTTATAGAATTTTTTTTAGGAATACAGGGAGTGGTTTGAGGCCTTTAACTGTGCTGGGAATATTTGTCCTCAAGTGGACTCTAGGCTCAAAGCTGCAGCTGCACAATGCAGATATTTTATATTGGAGGTTCAGATCATCAGAATGTTTGTCTGATGTTGGATTTCTTTAAATTTTAAAAGTTTCCTAAGTAGCAGTTCTTTTTTGTACTTTATGAATGTTAATGATGTGACAGGACCCAGTGGAGTGGGGGGACTGCTGAAAGGCTTAGAGGATTGAAGGAGGGATCAGTGTTTAGGTGAAGAAAAAAAGACTGCTTCAAAATATGATAAAAGCTTGGTACAGGAATTAACGGTTGAATGTTGGGCTTTGTCATTCAGGAGATGACACTGGATTGTCAAAATAACCCTCTATGAATTTATGAAAGATGAAGTCAGGAATAGGAAGGAATAAAGAAGTAAAAAAAGAGAATTGAGCATTCACAGAGAAGCAAGGGAACAAAGATGCAAGTGAAAGCAAGAAGGGAGAAATGTAAGGAATACTGTGCTAGGCAAGTCACATGAAGGTGCCAGTAGGAACAGGACAGGAAACTTTGGCTGCAGGACTTACATATGTGGTCTACTGCAGGTGACGACAAGACCCTTGCTCCAGCTCCAGTTCTCATCTTGCTCTCTACGGATGGTGTGCTCTGCCCATTTTACATGATCAATCAAAACCCCGGGGTCAGGTCGCTTATTGTGACCCCAGAGCCGTTGCTGTTGGTAGGGGAGAGAGTTCCAAAGTCAGCAGGTAAGTGCTTCAGTGGGTTAGGGAAACGCTTGCATTTGTAGATCTTTGTCATTTTCATCTGTAAGTTTGGTAGTCAGACGTGTACGTGGTCACAAAAAAAGATATATTTTTCTTCATAATGATAATGGGGAGAAATTCTTGGGTGTTTTTTGCTCCCAGAACTGTTCTCTCTTGCACATCGGTGTGAAATTATCTAGTCCTGTTCACTGTGTGGGATCTCAAGCACTTTGCAGTCTGCACGCTTAGACTCTACAGTGCAGTCAACCTGTGGGGAGCGGGGCCAAAGCAATTCTAGGAGGCCATTTGCCCAGCTTTGGGGGATATGACTGGAGCTGCAGCAGTGACTGCAGGCTCTGCCCGGGGACAGAGATCAAGCACTGTTCAGACCCAGAGTGTGGTCTATATGCTGCAGAGAGGTGATGGTTTTCCTCCATATGTTTTGCCACAGGAGGCCATGATGTGAACTAAGGTGTTTGTTTGGCTGCAGCAAAAGTTTATTTAAACAATTGCTTTCTGCAGCACTGTGAAATTGTGTTAGCAGGTGAGGAATAGTAGTTTTATCTGAGTTATATATTCATTTCCATTCGCAGTGTGAAGTAGGCAGTTTCTTATGCTGGGGTAGGCAGGTAAGCTGATTGTTTTGCTTGCCTGCATGCAGGCAGTAATAGTTGCAAACCCACACTTTTCTTCCCTAAGCCCAAATTTGCTTCTCATTGCTCAAACAATGCTTTTGTCTGGCAGCCTGCCTCTCTGCAGCACTGGCTGACTTGTGTGCTGACAGCCTGCTTTATTTGAGATGGCAGGAACCTCATCAAAATCAACAGAAAGGTGAAGCATTTTCACAAGAAATTCCAGACAACATTAATCTAGACAGACTGTAGTATTGATCGTGGCTTGGACTTTGTGCAGTTTCTGTATCACTTACTGGGTTTGAGGACTGGAAGCCTGGCTCTGCCATCTCTTTTTGTCACTGTACTGTCTGTCTGGTGAGCAAGATAGTGCTGAACTGTCCCCATCAAACAGCATTTGGCCTTGCAGTACCTTCTGCCATTAGTCAGTGCAGCCAAATGAGTCTTCCTTCCCCATTTGTCTTTCTGCAGGAAGCACTGCCACAACTCCAACCACTCCTCCAACTGCTTCAAAGCCTGACACGGTACCAGGTGTTGCTGCTGCTGCTGTGCCTGCCTCAAGTCAGCCTCCTGCAGGGAGTGGAGCAGCTGCTTTTTCCTTTATGCCTTCAGCTGTGAAGATGCCTGGCTCTGTGGGCAGTGATCCTCCGCCTTACCCCTTTGGCACAGATGCCTCCACGCAAGCCCTGGCTCCCAGTCTGACTGGAGCAGCAACATTCTCTTTCTCCTCTGCTTCTCCGAAGGCATCTGTGACTCCTGCTCCTTCTGTGGGCACCACTACAGCCACAGCCAGCTCCTTTTCCTTTGGATCCATGAACTTTAAACCAGCTGCAGACAGCTCACCTGGGACACCACTCTCCACAACACCTGTTGCACAGAAGTCATCTTTTGCCCCTTCAGCTTCTTCAGTCAAAGTGAACCTCAATGAGAAGTAAATAGATGCAGTAGTTAATGCAGTGGCTGGATACTTGTTAAATTGCTCCAGGCATGGACAGTGTATGGTAGTTCTGAAGATGGTTTCTGGCTTTTTGCCCTGGCAGCTGTTTCCCATGCTCCCAAGAAAGCACTGAGGAAGCCTCTCTTTATCCAAGACATAACTGTCTTGGCTGTGAAAACTCTCAGTGCTTCCTATGTTTGACGTTATTTTCATGGGCAAAATACTAGTTAAGGGACAATGCCAAAAATTAGAGTGATAATTTGCCAAATTGCTAGAGAACTAGTTTTTTTTATATCTTTGCTTCATAGGCATCAAACTAATTCTGTGCCTTGGTTGGATTCAAATCATGGTTAAAGACTCTTGGGAAACACTGGGATTGAAATCCTTTGTCTGGGACTGGTTTAGTGTGGTGGTGCTAGCACAAGTTTCTTTGAAGGTTCCTTATCTCCAACCTAAGGAGTAACTTGCAGAGCAGAGGAAGCTGTATCCATAGCAGATGGATTTCTTTTCCACTCCTGTGTTCAGTGGAGAAGGTGTCAGACCTTTTGGTTTTATTCTTAAATGGATGCATGGTCACTGAACACAGGATCTGAAGTCTTGAAAGCTTGTTCATGCCAGCTGACAGAAAACTAATAGTGATTAGAAACTATGCAAAATGGGTTGAGTGATGAGTGTTCTCAGATTTCTTCCCACTAACTGCTGAGACTTGCTCTCTGTTTAGAGAAAGAATGGTTTAAAACACAGAGCTGTGTAATTGGAGCTGCTTTCTGTGGAGAACAATTTTCACATAAATTTCTGATGGTTCAAATGATTATTTTTTAATTAGCAAAGTCTTTACTACAGCAGGATCTGATGGTAGCTCTTATGGCTTTTTAAATTTTATGTTTTGTGTATAAAGCAAATGATACGCTTGTGAATGGCTGAATATTTAAATTGGCTGCCTTGAGGAGCTGAGTTTGCAGATGAATAGAAATTCCTGTTTTCTTGCAGAATTTTTGTTTGAGCCTTGCTGCAAGGATGACACTGAAGGGCAGCTCAGATTTGCTCTAGTTGGTGCAAAATGATGAGGTGCATTTTGAAGCAGGGCAGTGTGTTTTGCTGGCGTTTGGCTTTTGCTCACTGGGTGGGTCTATGGTAGCAGTCTTTGTGGTTCCACATAATCAGAAATGATCCCGAATGGCTCCTTCCCACTATCCCCAGAAGGTACACTTATAATTTTCTATCTGGAGCTTAAGTTGTTGCTGATCTCAGAGGATGCTAATTCATTAGAACTTAGTGCTTTGTTTTGAATGGGGGAAACAGCCAGGACCAGTTCAGAGCTGAAAGATGTTCTGCTTTCTGTTGCAGGTTCACTGCTGTGGACACCTCTTCTCCCACTAGCAGCAGTGGCCAATGCACTTCCACAATGTTTTCATTCTCAACCACTTCAAAAACTGCTTCTGGAGGTCCTCTGAGCCAGTCCACACCCCTCGCAGCCTCTCCTACCACACCACTGAAGGCTTCGACCCCTGTGCCTGCTGCGGGTAGGAGTCTGATGCATATATTTGTAAATAATGCATTATAAACAATGTTCTAAAAGTTTTTTCTTTCTTGTTTTTCCTGATGCAATGGACCTCCTGATTTTCACCCTGTAAATGGACTTAGTACTGAAACTGAGAAGTTTTTGCATTTGTGTGCTTTGCTCCCCTGAGAGCCATGTGTGACATGAATTTATTCAGCTGCTTAAGTTCATCCAGAATTTCTGGCATTTTCAGTGTTCTGTAATACAGCTCTGATTATGAATGTTTCTGGGCAGTGACACAAATCAGTGCCTTATCTTGCATTTGGAATGACTAGAGTTCAAAATGGTCACAGATGAGTTTAAATTAGACAGCACTCATTTATTCTGTCTCAAATGACTGTGTGACTGGGGGTCTTGAGGTCCTGCAGGAGTGGTACAGCTGGATATTGGAGAGTGACAGTTGTTATCATTAGCAGAGAAGTTGGATGGGAGTAAAACAGCACCTAAGGAAAATGTATTTTTGTGCTGGGGCCCATACCACTATTGCTTTTGGGTTGACAGCAGTGATTACACTTGTGTCTGATCACAACCTGGTTTTTTCAAGCCTTGTGTAAGTTCATAAATCACTGTTCCTCTTAAATTCCAGTGGCGCGTCCTGCTCAAAATATCCCTTCAACTTCTTTACTACAGAAGACAGCCAAAATCACCCCTTCTGCAGCAAAACCAAGCTCTGCTCAGGTAATGGCAACTTGAGTGGATTCTTGAGGATGAATGCTTTACATGGCCCATGAATTGCTTGGAATTCGTTGGACTGAATAACTGTTCTTAGGTCAAAGAATTAGGTAGCTTTTGACATTTAAAATAATAGCAGATCTGCAGGACTAAAACTGTTCTATGCATGTCTTTAGAGAGCTGTGTTTTGATGTATGTTGCCTAATCAGAGTTGTAGAAGCTAGTTCTTCCTGTTGTTACGGAAATGAGGTATCACAGCTTTCCTGGGTAATAAGCACTCGAGATGTCTTGGATATGTATTAAGACACCAAGTTTGTCAGACATTAAAATCGAAACAGCAATACAGAGCAGCACACAAAGATTTCCTTTTCTTTCATAAAGCTTTAGCCATATATCTCCAGGTAGTCTTCAGTCCGACTTCAAACACGTGCATACCTTAGTTTACTGTGGAACTGGTATTTATGGTTATGACAGTTGTCTCCCTCATGACTGGTGTCTGAATGGCATTTCTAACAGAAGGCATTTTCTGATATCCTAAGCTTCCTGTTGCTAAGGATATATCCCTAATACTGGTTTTGGTGTTTGTTTTTTTTTTTTTCAGGGCAAATCAGCACTCCCCAGCACAGCTTTAGAGAAACAGGCCCACCAGTGGAAAGATTCAGACCCCGTCATAGCAGGAATCAGAGAGGAGGTGAGATTTTTTTCAAGCAGTTTTCTTCACTTTAGAAGCTGTAAGACTAATGTATGGGTATGCAGACACTTATGTTCTGATGGTATCTGTCTGGTGTGTAGTTTAGTAATTGGAATGGAAATTTTTCCCCAAGATAATCAACCTTTGTAATTGCTGTTTGTGTGTCCTGTTCAGTCATCTTTAATTTCAGCTGCTGTGCTGGAAAAATTAGTATTTTTTCCTGTTAATGTTCAGGAAGAATTTCCTGCTTTTGCTGCAAAGTGACAGGTGTTTACAGTGTAGTAGAAACATTATTCAAGAACTGTGACATTTGCTCTGGACCCTGCTATTTTTCAGTGGCTGCACTTTCTTCTACTTGACTTTGTAGATTGCACATTTTCAAAAGGAAGTGGAGGAACTGAAGGCCCGGACTTCCAAAGCCTGTTTCCAAGTTGGTACTCCAGAGGAAATGAAGATGTTGCGAACTGAGTCAGATGATCTTCACACCTTCCTCTTGGAAATTAAAGAGACAACAGAGGTGAGCAGAGTATCTTCAAACTGCTTAACTCCTCCACAATGACTGTTCCTCACCTGATGTTCCTACTTAACCTGCTAAAGCTGGACTGATGTAGATGGAACATCTGACTATGCTGCTTTAATGTGAGGGTGACATTTGCATTTGTGCTTTCAGGCAGATGCTTGCAGAAGCCCCTGTGCTAGAGATGGCAATGAAAAACTGTTACTTTGAACCTTGTCCCATCTGTTATATTTGCAGTCACTTCATGGAGATATTAGTATTCTGAAGACAACCTTGCTGGAGGGATTTGCAGGGGTAGAAGAGGCTAGAGAACAGAATGAACGGAATCGTAGCTCGGGGTATTTACACTTGCTTTATAAGAAACCTTTGGATCCCAAGAGTGAAGCGCAGCTTCAGGTATGAAGCATGTCAGTCAACTTCTAATCTAGAGTTTTAAATGAAATAATACTGAGGCTTGTGTGTGCAAGTGCCCAGCAGATTTGTCCTGGCCTAGGTATTTTCTGTTTCAATATAGTCTAGTAAAAGTGTGGTGAGCTTTGTTTTCCGTGAGTTTACAAGACATGCTGAAAATCCTCTCCTAAAGCTTCTCCATGTTGCTACCATTTGCCGTGATGATTCAAAACTCCTGCTGAAGGGAAGTAGTTCACCTGAGATCCAAGTCTATTCTAAGCTCAGAATGTTACTCTTGACATCCTGTTCCTTCTCAGCCTGTTTGCTCAGGGATTTCAGTTAAAAGAATCTTTTTTTTTTTTTTTTCTTCAACACTTTGTAGAAGAGTTCTTGGAATTATTTTTATCTTCAGCAAATGCCTTATGGAACAATTTGATTTATTATGACTTACAGAATTGTGTGGTTAATTTCATGGATGGCAGAGCATAAAGCTAAATGATATTCTAAGAGCTGGGGCACAAAGGAAAATAACCAGCAGTACATAAAGAGGCTTTCAAAGACATGAAAGAAACTAGGGGTGAAGCACTCTTTGTTACAGCTCTGAGAGGGCTATTTAACTGTAAAGCAAAACAGAGTGAATGTGCCCTTCAAATGATACTTGGTCTTTATACACCGATAAGTTCCCCTCAAGAAATTTGACTAGCAGGCTGAAGATGTATTTGTTGCAATAGGTGTCAAGAGCATGCACACAGACAGTTGCTAGGAATCAGCTGATGACATGAAGTAATTTTTTTTTAGGTCTGATCTTTCATCTTTACCTGGACTTGGTAGATTGATTCACGGTCTTAATTGTATGCGTGCTTTGATGTCCAGTATGTCTGTGACATTTCAAGCTTACGCTTATGACTTCAGAGAGATGATAATCTTGAAGTACTTGTTTCACTATCTAGAGGGAGGATCATGAAGAAAAAATAACAGAGTGGGAGAGAAGTAGATTGGAATGTAAGGAGAGAACTTTCAGGTCAATGAATTTGAGAAAGACAGCTCTAGTCTCTTAAATTTTGTTCAGTCTACATCATCCCCATTCTCCTGGGTGGGAAAAGCTCACTTAATCAACTTTGTGTATTAGTTCTCAATAAAGTTTTAAAGATCCTGAGGCTTTTCTGATGTCCAGCCATATTGATTTGCTGTCCAGAGAGTTGCTGCTGTATAATGCTCATAGCTGCTGGAGAGAGGAAACCCGTGCTTGGTAGTGTGTAACGCTAAGCCCACAGCAGGGCTGGATTTGGTTTCAGGTTGGATATATCTCATCAGAATTTCATGCTGTATCTTGAAAACAGTTGCAGTGGAATTTTTCCCAAGCTGTGTTACTTGGCTGCTTCATCATTGTATTTAAGTGAGCATTCTGTTGAGATGAGCTGAAACCAACTGCAGTTTCCATTTCCATTTTACGAGATCAGAGTTCAGGACGTGCACATCTATGACAGGCTGGGGGGATGACAATAAATGAGACAGAGCAATGGTTTTGTTTAGGGAGCAGGGCTTGTAGCCAGAGGTCTCTGGCTGAGTTGTACCAGTTGTGCAATTATGAGGTTGTGGATAAGTCACTTTACTCTCTCTCTCTCTCTCTCTGCTTTTTTTTTTTCCTTTTATACCTATAAAAATCAAGTTAATTCCTTGCCTTAATGTGGGAGTTGTGAGCATTTGTGAGTGTTTTCATGAATCATAGTCTGTGAACGCTGGTATCTTAGAGCCATGTGAATAGCCTGCAAAGCTTTGATCACCTATAATTGTTAGAAGTTTCAACATTGTAAAATGGGAGCAAATGACTCATTCTGGAAATGAGATTTGAAATAAGGTTTGTTTTGTATAATGCCTGATGTTTGTAAAACCCTTTAGAGAAAGACCTGGCAATATTTAGCAAACATTATGGGAAGTATTATTTCTAGTTGAGAGCTGGGATAAAATGTCCAAGCCAAGCCCTGTGGGTACTCCGTTGATATAATTAGATTTTTACTATGTTGGGTTCTGTTGTGCTGATTAAAACTTTCCAGGCAGAAATAGGGGAGAGTGCCACATGGCTTGGGCTGGCTGAAGACCCTTTGGGCTCATTTTCTTCAACTGAAACTGAAGTGAATTAAACATTAACTTTATTTTGCACGGTAGGAAATCCGACGCTTGCACCAGTATGTGAAGTTTGCTGTTCAGGATGTGAATGACGTTCTAGATTTGGAGTGGGATCGGCACTTGGAACAGAACAGAAAGCAGAAGTAAGTAACTGAAGTTGGAATACAGAACGGCAGTAAGGAACATGTCAGTGAATTAGGCATTAGTCTCTAATCAACAGACAAAAGCCTTTTTCCATTTAACAGTGTGATCTTTTTTCAGGGAGTCTAGGAGTAAAGCTTGACTGAGATGCCTAATGGGAGCTATAGGTTCAGACTGTTTGGCTTCATACATGTTACAAGCTTGCTTCATGTCCGTGTACAGTGAAAATAGTGCTTATGGAAAAAACTATAAAATAAACTTTGTGGAAACCAAATGCATCCGTTGGTGGTAGCTAATGAAACATTTCTAGTAAATAAACCATCTTGAAGTAAATGAGCTAAGGGATAAATATGCACTTGAGATGAACTGTTTTGGCATTCAAACCAAACCATGTTTGACCTCATGGAGTTCAAGTAGCTAGAACAACTAAACTGCTTTGTGTGTACATGCCTGCTTGTGGCCAGATATCTAGAATGGTCCTTATCCCTGTCTCTTAAGGCGTCTGATTGTTCCTGAGCGAGAGACTTTGTTTAACACCCTGGCTAATAACCGGGAAATAATCAATCAGCAGAGGAAGAGACTAAATCAGCTCGTCAACAGCCTGCAGCAGCTCCGACTCTATAATCAGACCTCTCAGTGGAGTGTTCCCAGTGATACATCTTCTCTTAGCAGTGCTCAGAGGTATGTGAAACACAAATTCCTGAGTGGTGTTGACACTCCTTCTCTGTTGCCCCCAGCAATGTGCAAGGGTGCATCCTCCAAAGAATGATGTTTTGTGGATGTGGTATAGGAGGACAGGACATTCTAAAACTGATACTAAGCTATGCCCAGGTGATACAGAAGCTCATTGGGTATATTCTGTGACACTGTCCGATGCTTATCAGAAATTTCCCCTAAAAGTTACAGGGGTTTTATAGTAAACATGGTAATAGAGCCTCCAGGCTGAGGTACTGCTGGTTGTCTGAATTGAGAGGAAGAAATAAATGGCTCTAAAATAAGATGCATGTGTTTAAATAGCACAGTTTCTAGAGGAGACAGTTGTTCTTCCAGTTAAGCCAATGGTTCTAGTGGCTCCTTTGGCCCTCTCTTGTTCCTGATTTGGTTGATTTCTTTCGGCCGATCATGGTTTTTCACTGCTCTGCCTTGTCCCAGTTTTGACAGTGACCTTGAAAGTCTGCGCAGTGCCTTGATGAAAACTACCTTGGAATCACATGCCAAACCTCTGCCTAAAGTACCTGGTAATTTATTCTTTCTTCCTGGCATTCACACCATGAGTGTGAATTATTTTTTTGTTTTGGAGTTTGATTACAGACTAAGAACTGTATTTGATTTTCCAGCTAAATTATCCCCTGTGAAACAAACACAGTTGAGGAATTTCCTAGCCAAGAGGAAAACTCCACCAATTAGGTCTACAGCTCCAGGTAAACCTTTGGTTACCATAGAAGCATGAAATGCTTTGCAGGAGGGTGAGTTACCTGCTGTTGGAATCAGTCCTGAAGTTGGCTTTTTGGCTTCTCACTCTTCAGTTCATGCTTCTCATTTCCTGTTCCCCCATCTGCTCTCAGTAAGAATTTCCTTCAGTCATCTTGTTGAAGACTGCCCTTCCTTGCAGTCAAAAAGTCAAATCCTGTCAGTGCAGGATTAAAACAAGCCAGTAGAAAAGCATCCTAAAATAGGATGACTCTGTCTTGGCTGTTAGGCTGGATGGTTCCCTCAACTTAATACATACACTTGATTTTGTTTCTGATATTGCAGCAAGTTTGTCTCGATCTGCCTTCTTGTCCACAAGATATTATGAAGATTTGGATGAAGTCAGTTCAACATCCTCAGTTTCTCAGTCTCTGGAAAATGATGATTCACAGGCAGTGGACCAGGAAGAAGAGGCTGCTCCAGTCCAAGTCCCTCGTCATGCTCCTGTGGTCCGTACTCCCTCTGTCCAGCCTGGTTTGATGGCTCAGTCTCCGTCCTTTGGGAAACAGCCCCTCTCCCTGGGTACCTTGCGTGAGTTGTTTTTGCAGTGTCTCTCCTACTATCTGTGTATTCTTGTTGGTATCTTTAACGACTGTGTCCATTGCCAGTGCTTCAGGTCCTAGAGAAATGACATTGCAGCCTGCGGATGTACATTGCCAAGTTTCCAGAAGCAGTTAGCAGAGTGGCGTTGTAACCTCAGGAACTTGAGTTAAAAGTGCTAAAATATCTTGACTCATTAACTGTTTTTTTTTTTTTCTGATAGCTTATTTCTTTCAGATAGTACAACTGTATATAGCGTTGTCAGCAGAAGTGTCTGTAACAGCAAACTGAAAGTCATCAAATGTGTTGAAATGTTGGTTATTGAAACTTACTTGCTGAATTTATTGGGATATACAGAAACTGCCAGGGTCAGATTGTGTTGATTGTTTAAAAAGCCTGTGCATCATTCCTGTCAGAAGGAAGCTGTGTACTTAGAGGAACTGTAGTTCAGCAAAGGCTTTCAAGTCTCCCTGGTTTGTAGAGATACAGTAAACTGTAATATTTTTGTTCGTTTGTGTTTTAGTGCCTACGTCTTCAAACAGAATCATACCACAAGGGGCAGACAGTACAATGCTTGCAACAAAGACTGTGAAACATGGGGCTCCTGCTCCCACTGTCACTGTTCCAGCACCACAGGCAGCAGCTGCTGCAGCTCTGCGGAGGCAGATGGCTAACCAGTCCCCAGGTAAAAGAATGGCTAATTGCCCAAGTGACCTCTGACTAGTTAAATGTGGCTTTCACAGGAATTTAGTGCTCTCAAAGGAGAGATCATCAAACAAAATGGGACACAGATCTGTATTTGTTGCACCTTTGAGCTATCCAGTGTTTTCTTGTATTCCTTCTTCCTGTAAGCTACCAGCACAAAATGCCTGAGAAACTCCCACCTCAGGTTTCTTTGTATCCAGTCTTGTGCAGTGGCAGAAATGTCGGTGACTCTTAGGCGATTCTGGCATGGCAGTTGATTTGTGTGCAAGAAGGTGTGTTGGAGAGCAGAGAAAGGATGTCGCTGGCCTATATTAGTAATTCTTCATTATTAGCTATGGAATTAAAGACCTGAATTGTAAAACAATTTTAATATTGAAAAGTTAAAGGTGTTAAGCCTTGAATCTGCTTGTAAGGTTTTGAGATGACAGGAGAAAAGTTTCCTAATTTAAGCTTTTGTTGTTTGGTTTTAGACATATCTCAGTGCTTCTCCAGTACTGTAGCATCAGCGCAGAAAAGAAACAAAATTCAGTTACTGGTAGAAAAATTGGATTAGTTCGTATTCCTTGCCCAGGGAGAGCATAAATGCAGAAAGGTGATGTAATGATGTAAATTTTAGGAGAGGCTGGGGTGTAACTACACAGGTCATTTCTGTTAACCTAAGAAGTGACAATGTAGGTAAGGAAAAGGGTATAAGAATAATCAGATTTGGTGACCTAACAATGAGAAATGTACCAACTGTATAGAAAGCTGTCCACTTCTTTGGTGTCCTTATTGAAGGCTGAGATACCAAACTTTTTGGCCAGATACACCACATACCTTCTACAAACTTGGATGAATTTCTTCTGGAGTTACTCATAGGCACCATATTGAATGAACTGCTTAATATGGAGATCATCTTTACCTTATTTTTATTTTTTTCCTTAAAGCTGTAAGCACCTCCTTGACTGAATCAACTCTGAAAAACGTTCCTCAGGTGGTGAATGTGCGAGAACTCAAGACGGGTGCATTGACTCCAGCTGTCTCTGCAGTAATAGGGTGAGTGACTGCTCCCCTTCTTTGTGGTAGCCTTTGGTAGCACTTGCAATAGAACACGTCTTCCAGTGGGGAGCAGCAGTAGTATTTTGCATAGTCTGACTATGTAAGACCTAAAGCAGATGCATTTAGAGAAGAGTACTGGGTTTGTGGAATGGAAGGAAGAAATATTTCTTTCCAGGTCATTCAAGGATTTGCTAATGGCTTGTCCTGAACAAATGGCAAGACCAGTATTAACCTCCTTTACCACTGGCCTGTGAAATGCATTTTAGGGCATCTTCTCCTTTTGAGATCCAGTGGTTTTGCTGTTAGTATGTACTTTGGATCTGGTATCTCTCCAGTCACTACCTCTGTTCTGCCTCTTCCTGTGAGGGAAGTGCACCCCTCTGTCACTGAGTGTGGACTGTGGCCTTAAGTGTTCCAGATATTGATTCTACTACTTTGTCATCCACTACGGAGAAAACCTTCCCTGGAGTTGGGCCTCTTCTATGTATTCTGAGATTCAACCCTGAGGAAGGGAGAACTGTGTTCTGGCTTTTCTGGAAACCTGTCTCAAATTTTTTGATGTTAGAATTTTGCCTGAAGGTTTGGTTGGGTGTTGGTAGGGGCCGATAATTTTTGGAAAAATAGAGAGCTGCAAGTCTGTCTTCCTCATGAGCAAATTATGATTATTTTCTTCTGGTATTTAGTCGTGAATTTGTTAAGATTTTTCATGAGTTAGCTGTAACACTTGGCTTTCCTACGTCTCTGCCTCCTACAGACAACAGCCAGCTCAGCTCATTCCAGAGATTTCTGTCTTATCACCAGGCTCTGTCACCAGGCACAGAACTAGTCCTTTTTCCTGTCATCATCATGACCTTGAAACTGTCTGTTCCTGCTATTGCTTGTGACCAAGATAATGCGTGGCTGTTTCTGGGCTGGGGAGGCAAGGGTGCTCCTGGAAAGCCTGAGCAAAGTTGGGCTTGCTGCATAAAGCAGGATAAATTCACCACCTACATCTGAATACAAGTCCACATGGAGCTGCAGGTGCTTTATCCATATAACTGTGGGCTGTACATGCTGCTCCTGGGACACTTTCTGTGGTTCTATGGCTTCTCGTTTTCATACATGTGTGTATACCCTTCACTGTCAAAGAAAAATGGTGAAATTTCTGTGATGCAGCTTTTCAAAAAGGGAACAGTCTTACAGTGGTGGTACTCAGCTGCTGCCCTGGAAATTTACTTAATGGTTTCTTCTGCATTTTAATTGGGAAACCATTTGGGAGCTTTTTACTATTTTATTTTCTCCTGAAAGCAATAAACTGAGATGGGGGAAGGGCAATGCTACATCTTTTGAAAATAAAATTTGCAAACAGCTCTGCTTGGGAAATCTTGCTAAAAGCAGTGTTATGACCAGGAGGAGTTCTCCACCCTTTGTTTCATCAAAACCATGATGAAAAAGGTAGAGAGTACTGGCTGTGAGTAAACAAGGACATGAGTGAGTGATACATATCTGAGGCTGGTTTTCACTTGAACTGTAGTTAAAGACCTGTCTTACTTTCAAGTAGTTTTAGACTGGCAGTATTGATTGATCTCTCTAATTTATAGAGCACCAGCTAGCTTGATATCTTGAAGGCTTTTTACAGTCTTATTTTATAGCTGACCTCACTTTCTAAAAATTCTACCCAAATGAACCATGGCTGCCAGTCAGATTCCACACCAAAATAAAGAGCATTCACCCAGCAAAGTTAAGTCATCAATTTTTGCTACTTCAGGCATCCTGGCTTCCTTTTGCTGCCACAGCACACTCTTCAGGTTGTTAAGCAGTAATGATTTTTCAGTTGTTACCACTTGTTCAATGGCCTATAGCTAGGTGTGTTGGTGGTCCCGGTCCAGTTACTTCTATATATGTTTTCAGTGCAAAAAAAACCCTCTTTGAACAACTAAAGTCAAACCCAGCATTTTCATAGCCTTGTCAGAGAAGCTCTGGATCAAGTGATCTTGAGACTTTTCTGGGGAAAAGGTCCCACCCTATCATGAATTTCACAGACCTTCTGTTGTTTTCTTTGTTCAGGGTTTGTATGAACTTGAAATTTACAGCTGCACTATCCCAGCATGGACTCTTTCCAGTGCTAATATGGTTTCCCTTGTTTGCTTTACTTTTGCTCTGGGCAGAAGGCAAATCCAAGCCATGCAGTGTAGAGAGAGCGTGCTCGTTGCTGAAAGGAAGGTCTTGCTAGTAATACAAAGCTGTTTAAGGCACAAAACCCTGTCCAAGACCAAACAGCTATGCGAAATTATGGTTTTGTGTGTGTCCCCTTCCTTTGGAATACAGTAGGAAGTTTCTGTGAGTTAGTCTGTAGCTGACCAGATAGTAAATGCAGTTTGGGAGTCCTCATGCTTTAGGAGATATACAATTTTTGGTGCCCAGGTTTTCCTACTGTCTGGAGTTTGCAGCCTCAGCCCTTTCTATAATGTAGACATAGTATAAGACTTATTGCCTTAGGGAACACCTGGCCTGAGTCAAGATGGAAAGAGCCTGCTATGGTAAGAGAAGTCTGGCCTTTGCCACCAGGAGAATGCAAACAGTGTTGAATTTAAGCTTCCGAAAGCTTCTGGTATTGTCCATTTAAGCTGCTGAACTTAGTGAGCCACAGACTTGAGAAGGTGCTGAAGCTGGATGGCTGTTCCAAAGTTAAGGTGATTTGGTGTGTGTATGGCCCGCAGCATGTCAGGTAGGATACTTCACCCCAGAAGTAACTGCCATTGTGCAGCAATTGTCTGTGGACTCTGATGTACAATTTACTTTGTGGTCAGAATTCCCAAACCAAATGTAGAATATAGGCTAATTTTATCACAGTTCTTGCTATGACTTCGTTAATATTTATACTACACTTCAAAGATATGAAGCACTTTCCCCCCACCCCCAGCTCTGTCTCCTTGCTCAGCATTTCTGAGAGTTGGATGTATTTGTCTGGGCTCCACATTATAAAGGAAGCTGCTTAGATTTGTTATCCGCTAGGCATAAAATTGTAATCCCCTTACCTGCTGATTTTTCATCACCTCCTTGTAAAATAGAAAGGCCTGACTCTCTTCAGAGACAAGAGTGTGTGAAGAAGACTTGATCGTTTAAGTCTAGAGCTTTAAACACATTTGCAGACTTCCTTTGTTAAATGTGGCTGATTCATTTAAGAGGTTTATTCCCTAATCAGATTTGTTCATTTGGAGTTGTGTGTGGAATCTATAATAGCGGTGGTTGTTCAAGACTTCCAGAAGCTGTGCATTGAGAGGTGAGGAAGTCCTCTTTTAGACTAGTCATTCATTTAATATTTTTTTTTTCTTTTTAAGATCATCTGTACCTCACTCTGCAGCCCAGGCAGTCCACCAAGTTTTGGCAACTGTTGCTACAAATCAAGCTAAACAGGTATCTTGATATAGAATCCTTTCCCTGTGGAATACTGTAACTGGGCATGCTCAGCAGGGTTGGGGATTTAACTGTTTGTGGACGGGTCATCTAAAAATCTCTTTTTGCAGCTTGCCCTGCATTCTTGGCAAACCATTTATTTATCTGTGATCTTGACAGTGTGATGCTAGGCATATCTTTGTTATGTCTTGCCTTTTGCCCCCTTCTGAAGACTTGCGGCTTTCTAATGGCCACAGCCTTGCAGCAGTAAGAGTTCCAGCTAACAACAACAAAAACTGTATTACGGAATTAGATAGATCTACTTAAATTTCACCCCCCAAAAATGGGCTAGGCAATCAAGGGAGAGAGTAGTTTACCCATCTTGTTATTCTACTGAAAACATTTCTTACTGGTCAGTAAACTGCTAGGTGTTATGTCCACATGTCAAAAAAACATGCAGCAGTTTTGTCCCCTGCAATCATTGAGCTGTTGCCAATGGAGGCTTACTGGCCTCTGCAGGAGACATTGAAAAAGCTGAATATTGACCCTGTATCTAAGTGGCAAGACATAATGGGCCCAGGATTGAAGGGCACTTCCAAGTGCTTTGGCTGCCTTCCTGTAGTTGGTTCTGAAGTCACTGCATGACTCTCATGATACCAGACCAAGGTCAGAAGGACCTTTGTTAATGGACAGACTGCACTGACCTGAAGTGGGTTTGTGTTTTTTAGACACCTCTAACAAGCTCGCTTAAGGGACAGACTCCACCTTCCTCTGTGTGTGCACCCTGTCCTATAGCATCTACATCTGGTCCAACGTCGTCTGGCAACAAAATCTCAGGTAAATTTTCTTTGGTGGAGATGGAAATAAGGCCTGGATGTCTCTTGCCATCTGTTAGGGTGTGTGATCCAGAAAATGAGGACACAGAGCCTCCACTGATAGGCTGCTGCGTCAGGCTTGAGGGAGAGAATTCGTAAAAACAAAGTACAGAAGAGCGGGAGAGTGGTTTTGTATACAGCCCTCTGTTTTGTCTCTGTGCCTGCATCTAGAATTCAGTGATGCGGTTCCTCATTGAAAGTGGATTCAAAATGTATAACCCTAAACAAGAAATGTTGAAAGCACATCTACTAAAGGCTACTGTGGTTTGCTAGCAAATCAAGAGCAGACATTGTTGCTGCTTTGTGTTTTTTTTAAACAAGAAAAGTTGTTGTACTTGTGCAGGAAAGGGATTGGATCCTGAAGTAACAGGAGCAGTTTTTTCCATACATTGATGTCTGACATGAGTATTTCTATCCTATAGGCTGCAGCACCATAGAATTACCTGAACTAGCTTGAAATGAGCTAAATCGGGTACTGGGTTTGTTGAGCACTGGGCTGTATGACCAATTTCAAGTCTAGTTCAGACACTGTGATCTGTTGTGCACGGTTTAGAAGCGTCTAAGGAAAGGAATGCTCAGTTGACATCATTCTGTGCAAATTGAGGAAGAGGAAACTCTTGGGGAAGGAAGGAATTGATTTTTAATGTGTATTAGATAATAATGCTGGCATTGGATGTGGTTTTATAAGCCTCTTGCATAAATGTCTGAAATCCATCTCTATTGCTCTTTTGCCTTTAAGCCATGGATGTAGGTTGCCTCTTAGCCAGGGGTAAGAAGCAGTAAAAATAGCTAGGATAAAAATCATATTTGACTTGGCAAATGCTTCTTAAATTTTGGTTTATTGAAAATGTCAGCTCCTGAATTTGATAGCACTTCCTTTTTATTTTGAACATGTTTTGATATGTTGATGAGAGATTATACTGAGGATTTCTTCGGCTTTGGGGTTTTCTTAATTGTTTAATTTTTACTGTCAAGATGGTGACACCTGTCTTTGTTCTAATAAGATAAATATTATTGCCTTAAATCTTTGAAATAATTCATGTGTTCCCTGACATTGTAACAGTGGCAGGAATGCTTCTGTGCCCAAATATCAGATTTGTATAAGTGACAAAAAAGCTTTGCTTTCAACTGGTAAAATCAGACTTGTGTGCTTTTTTGACAGTTGGATGTCAAGGTGCTCTTTTCTTACGTATAATCTTGTTCTTGTAACTTACAGGACAAGGGACGGTTAAAACAGTTACAGCTGTGACTTCTACAGTGACATCAGTACCAGCAACAACTGCACAGCTTAACAAAGCATTCTCCTTTTCTGTGGGGTCTGTATGAACATTAAGATATCTTTGTAATTGACATTATAAGTGTCAGCTGTTAGAGCAAGTGTTACCTATAAGCTGCATAATACCGTAGAATGGCACCTGCAAGTGTTAGATTGCACCAGAGTTCTTGGAAGACCTAGTTTGTGGGAGCCTACCTGAGTGAAGTGTGAAGGTGTGAGAGAATTTGACACAATATTGTGTTGCTTTGAAATTTTTCAGTCTAATTAATCAAGAGTAAGTATTGACTGGCTTTCTTTTCAGGTTTATCTGTAGCGGGCTATTGAACAAATCATACACTGTGTGTACTGTATTTCTCATCATCAGGTGATCATTTGAAATTAGAGCAGTATGACTGTGGTTAAAGCACCCACTCATGGTCTGATGCACCAGGTTCCCTGACTGTCTGAGTGAACGTCACCACTTGTCATAGAGACAGAGAAGAATATTTGAGCTGTATTTTGTATGTTGAGGTTAAGAAAGAGGAAGAAGAGGCAGACCATAGCTAGTTTTAAACCATGTGCTTTATTTAATGAACAAAGAGCAGGAGCAGGAAAATCATCCCTAGCAAGTTGTGAGAATCAACTTTGGCTTTACAGCAGCAGAAGAGCTTGAACACTGGAAGCTTCTGCTCCCAGAGAAGAATTGTCATGTTAACACTTGTCACCTCTGAAGATGAATTCCAAAGAGAATGATGTTGGGTTTTCTAATCTGGGCATACATATACAGGTTTCAGATGCTGGCAGAAGTTTGAGAGACAGAAGTGCTAGAATTCCCAGTTAGGAGTTGAAATTTGTACCGACGGTTAGACTTGCTGAATTATTTATTTTAATGCAACAATAAATTCTGTGTGGTCTGTTCATGAAGGTGACTAGAGAGTCCCCGTGCCATCTGGTGACTTCTGTTACACAACAATAACACAAAGCAAAGTGCATGTTATGAACATATAGTTGTTCTGAAATCTCTTACAGAGTGTTTTTTCAGGGATGACAAAAATATTTCGTTGATCATATCTTATGTTTAGGGGAGAGGGAAAACTCCTTAGAAATGATCATTTAAAATTCTGCATATCTATTTAATACTCAAATTAATTTTTTTCTTTAGGAAGTGGGTAACATTAAGTATTTCAGAACAGGCGTACTTTCAAATGACTGGTTTCTTCCAGTCTTAACCATTTCTCTGCAAGTTTGTCAAGTGGATGTTATCCAAACGCCTTGCTGTGCTCTTCAAAGGGCTAAAATAGTCCTTTTGAGAGATGGAAATTCAGATTCAAAAAGCAAACAAACCCTGCCTTTGTCCCAGGCTGCAGTGCCTCCGTCTGTAAACCATATGCTAAATACAGTGCCATTGTCACTGATGTCTTAGTTACACAGCCTGACTTCTATCTCAGCAGCTGGTCTTTGAGAATTGGAGAAAGCTTAAAAGGCCTCAGGGAATGAAGGTCTTTAGAGGACCCCAGTGCTCATTATGAAAGATCACAGTATTTTTGCAAGACAGAATATTCTTAGTGTGAAATAGTCATGGAAACTTTTAATTTCCATCTTGCTATGAGTGATCTCCCTTTTGACAGGTGGTAGTATCCAGGTATTCATGCACTGTCTCTTACCTTTTAGCTCTTAAATAAACTTTAGTCGCCACTATGGCTTCTGCTCTTGTTAGTCTCCCAAAAGCTATCAAGATATGGTGCATGGTGTTCAGCTGCTGACCTGAATGGGGAAGAAATATACAGCAGAAAGGAAAGAATATGGGAGGATGAGGGCTGCTCAAAAGAACTTTGACTGTCTTTAACCCTCTAGAAGCCTTGTCAGAAGGGAAGCACATGGAGCCCAGTCTGTGTGTGTGCTTCTCTTTGCCTGTTTATTTGTTGGAGAAACAGTTCTTGTGCCTGTGTGGCTGACTTCATGCAAGTCTGTACTGGAAATCTGAGTCTCAAAGTTATGTTCATCATGGGGTTGGAAGTTTCAACACTTCAAGCTAAGTGTTATTCTTTCTTTCTCTTCTTTGCTGCTAGGTCTGGATTTAATTTTGGTGTCACAACAGCTGCTTCATCACCGACGCTGCCCAGCCTTGCTTCTTCACAAGGTTAGTTTGGAAGAGTGTGCAAACAATATCTCTTCCCTGTGAAGAGAACTCTTACTCTTCCTAATTCATGTGGTTGTTGTTTTATGTTGCAGTTCTATTATTAAAATTGCAGTAGCTGCAATAATATTTTATATGTATGTTGGATTATGCCCTATAATGCACAGAAATCTAGGCCACCTGCCTTTCAATTAAGAGTAAGCAAAATATTTGCTGCCAAGAACGTCTAGGAGGTGCTAGTTTATGAAAAGGGTAACATCTGTAGTCATTTCCTCTGCTGTCTTTAATCTGTAGATTTAAAGTTGCCGAGGTGGTCTGACACAGCTGTCATTAAGTGGAATGAGCATTTAGTAATGGGAGGGGAATGCTTGGGATGGCTTTGTGTTGCTTCTAAAATTGATTTGACAGTATATATGCTGCCTTTCCATTTCATAGGTAGACCATACTTGCCTGGTCTGGAGAAAGGGGGACTGCTACACCTGCTTTATAATATTCTTGAAGTTTTCTGCCTCTAATTTCATTCTTGCAAAAGAGATTGTATGGTCAGAATCTCACTTCCAGTATTATTGGTTGCTCTAATAAAAGATATCACCTCTTCTTACAAATCTTGGCTTGCTTAGATTCTTAGATCATCACAGCCACAGCAATGCTACTAATACTCTGTTGACCTTAAGCAGAGAGAACTAACAGTTTAAAACTTGAAGATTCGGTTAACGTAAAAACTTAGGTAAATAACACTGACTAAAGGAGTGGGAGGTGCAGGAGACAGATTTGTAAACCACAGCGTTGTGTGAGGGCAGTTACTCAGTGCTGCTCTGTGAAATGGTAGGAGCACCTTTTGCCTCTGTTAGCTGATGATAGAGGAAGAACAGGGGAATTTCAGTGCCTCAGGAGGAAACAAATGCTACATTATTCAGCATCAGTTACTAATATACTTAAATATACTTAATATACTTACAGAGTAAAACACAAGGATAATACCAGCTGTGCTAAGAAGCTTTTGCTCTTTGTTATCTGATCTCCATGCCGATTTTTCTGTACCTTGTCCAAAACAACCCATGGTCCAAACACCGTCGCAGTGTCTTCAAGTCAGAATTTGTGTGTGTGTTTGGTGCTCAGAAATGAAATTACAGTACATCAAAAAATACTAGTCCGGTCTCCCTTAAATCTTCAGCAGTTTCACACTATCAGACAGCAGTATGTCTTATAAGTGGAGCTGCTTTAACAATTACATTTGAGAGCTTTTCTGTAGTCTTTCAAAGCTGAAAACAGGCTGCAAAGAAGCTGGTCAGTGGTCTATAAATAGTTGAATTTCTAAAGAAAGATTTGATTCTGTAGAAGACTTTTCAAATGCCAGAAGGTATTTTTATGACCCAAACTCTGTTCTGAGCCATTGGTTTAAACAGAGTTCTGTAGTGTGTGTCAGGAATTGTTTAGCTGAACCAAGTAAGAAGGGGTGGAAATGATGTTAACAGCAAATGGTCTGTAGTAACCAGGTCTTTTATGTTTTTATCAAACTGAAAAAGAGATGGGAGCTGAAGGCAGAGAGAAGGATGGTTAAGCAGAGTATTTTGACAGGAAAGTAACTATTTGTCACTGCAACCCTATCCATAAATGCTTCAGAGTCATCACTGTTGTCTCCTGAATGCACATGGAAGTGGCAGTTACCTGATGGTCAGAGGCTTTATAGTTTTGAGGCAAGAGCACTGTCTTCTGACAATCTGTGAAGCACTAAAGCATGCTAGTATTGTAAGAATGATAAATGAGCTTTCCATACTGTAACTCAACCTGTAACTTTTGTCTCTCTCACTGACAGCCCCTGCTAAAGAGACCACCCAGACTGATTCATTTTCACTTGCTGGGAGTTCCAAATTTGGAGTAGTCCCTGAGAGCTCCTTTGCTTTTGGATCCCTCAAGCCAGCAAGTGCTCCAGGAGCCTTAGTAGGAAATAGCTCCTCAGCAGATGGCACCCAGTCAAACAAACCTGCTGCAACAACATCTTCTGCTCCCTCCACAGCCTCTGGCAAGTTGGATATCCCTCCGTCTAAACCAGGAGATCACTTGTTTCAGAGCAACCTAGCTGGGGAAACTCTTGGGAGCTTCTCGGGACTTCGGGTTGGTCAAGCAGAGGATAATGCCAAGACCACCACTAAAGTACCATCTACCAGCGTTGCAGGAGCACAGTCAACTAAAGTATCTACAATACCTTCTGGGTTTACTTTTACTGCTCCCCTGTCATTAGGAAAAGCTGGAGAAGCTGCTTCAACATCAGTCACATCGGCTGGCACGGCATCCCCGTCCATCAGCACTAGTGCCACAGGCAGTCTCTTTGGCAACGTCCAGATAACCAACACAGGGTCTTCTGGGGTATTTAATCTTGGAGGCTCTAGTGGCAGCAAACCCACCTTTTCATTTGGTATTCAGCAAACAAACAGTGTGAGCACATCCACCTCTACCCCTTCTACTCTCTCCACTTCAACATCCCTCTCATTTGGAAGTTTCTTGAGTTCTTCGCAAACAGCTGTCCCTGCTGCAACTTCTAATAAGGGTGCAGGGGATGCCAAATTACCATCTGTGTCAGAAAAGCCATCTGAAAATGAAGCTGTAGTAGTTGGGTCTTCACCTCCAGTGTCACAGTCACCGCAGCCGCAGGTACAGCTTTCAGAGTCTGGTAAAGAACCAGTTTTACCCCAGGCCACGGCCGGGGACAGCGTCTCTGCGGGCTCTGGCACCACCTCGGCAGCACCTCCCCCCGATGCCATCGCTGCTCCTGCCTCCACAAGTGATTTGAAGGCACCGGTGCCTCCTGCCGTCTCTGCATCTTCCCCACCAGATCAGAATGTCTCAGCGACAACGTCTACAGCAAACATTGCCTCTCCTGCAGAAGCCACAAGTGTGTTGGCTGCTACCTCTGACATTACTACATGTGTTCAGAGTCCAGCTGTCGGTGCCTCTGTGTTTGCCCCCACCTCTGCAGGCTCCTCCGTCTTCTCTCAGCCTCCAAGTTCCAGCTCTTCTGGCTCAGCATTTAGCCAGCCTGCTGGTGATACAACCGCCACTCCTTCCACACCACCTGTTTTTGGACAACTCCCAGCAGGTACCACTGCATCCTCTCCGTTTGGGCAGCTCACCACCAGCACCTTGGCCACCGCCACCACTACCACGCAGGCTGCCAGCTCAGGTTTTGGTACTTCTGCTTTCGGCACCACCACTGCCGGGGGCTTTGGTCAGCCAGCCTTTGGACAAGCACCAACCTTTGGGCAGCCAGCAAGCAGTTCTTCAAGTGGTTTTACCTTTAGCCAGTCTGGGTTTGGGACAATGCCAGCCTTTGGCCAGCCAGCGGCCTCCACAGCAGCCTCTAGCAGTGGCAGTGTTTTTGGAGCACCGGCCAGCACCAACACCGCCAGCAACTTTTCCTTTGGACAGCCATCTGCCAGCACTGGAGGGGGATTGTTTGGACAAAGCAGCCCTCCAGTGTTCGGGCAGAACACTGGCTTTGGGCAAGGGGGCTCCGTCTTTGGTAGCACTGCCGCAGTTACTACTACAACGTCATCTGCTGGGTTCAGCTTCTGCCAAGCTTCAGGTAAGAACAAACTGCAGGGAAATGTGATCTCCCAGCAGTGCTGTCTGGCTGAAGTACAGAGAGCAGTATATCACTGGGGAAAGTAGGACACTTTTAATGCCTTTTTTTTTTTTTCCCCACTTATGGCACTTGATGGGTTGGGTTGTTTTTTTTTTGTTTTGTTTTCAGTTGGTAAGAATAGGAGCTGCAGTGTGTGTGAGGGGGAGGCTACTGTTGAAGATGAAAGAATCTTTTGCTCTGTTTTGCTGTTCATCAGTAGGCCTCTGAACGTAGCCTTTTCAATTCAATCTTGCGTTCATTTTATACTTACGAGTCTACCTTGACTTAATTTTGAATTATGTATTCTCCTGCCTATTGCACAATAAGTGGGTTGGGTTCAGCCTAGTATGAAAGATCTTAAACTAGTGTGGTGTTGTAAATTGTTACACTGAAGTGGCGAGGCAGCTCTGAGACCATAATCAAGGCAATGAATACAGATGGAGCACTTCCTTCAGTGGGCTGCATTGAGTACATGCAACAGTGGATGTATAGCCAGGTATAGCACTGTTACCGTGATCTGGGATGGCAAAAAAAATTTTAAGCCCTTGAAGTCATGGGTTAGCAAGCAACTAATCTGTTAAATCCACTTTTTCATCTGGAAATATCTCAAAATTAAATATAGCAGTAGCATTACCATCAGCTACTTGTCTACACAGTTAAACTGAGTACTTGCACAGACCAAACCTCCTTTGTCAGTCTCCTTTTGTTCTCCACGTTACTGTAATGTATTGTTGTTTTTTTCTTCCAAAAGCTTTGTCTGTACAATCTCCAGAGAGCTCCCAGGGAAAAGTGAAAAGTACATAGCAGTAATAAAGTGTATTTCTAAGGAAGAAAAACTAATTAGGCTCATTTAATTAAAAATGATGGCACTGTAGGCAAAAGGCTCGTGCATTTTAACTACAGTAACAGAGAATAGTTAAAATGGGGAAGTGTACTCTGCTTGAGCAAGGTGCTCCTAATTATAAAATGGAAGTTTTATTACAAAATGCATATTTAAGTGAACTAGGAAATGGAATGAGTTTTTTTTTTTTTTATCAAAACATTTAATTATAACAGGAATCTTTAGGTAACAAAGCTCAGATCCTCGCTACACAAGGGCAATCAGAATGCTGCCATGCTTGTTCATGACTTGCAGCATTATTATAGCAATGTTAACAGAAATTCAGTTCTCCAACATTGTTACCAACAATCCCACAAGTGAAAAGGCCTTTTATCTTCTGTTTGTTTTTAAGTTGGCCGAAGAGAAAAGGAGAATGACTTACAAATAAACTTTCAATGGAATTTATTATTTGTGTGTTGGCACATACTTTAAATTTGTCCAACCTAGATGCATTTTGTAATATCATTTGTATCCCTGTGTTTTGGCATGGGAGACTTGTCCCTTCCCGGTTCTGGACTAGTGTCACCTCCCTGAATTCTCTTATACCCTCGTAGTAGTTCTGGTGGTTTATTTCCCTTTTTTTTTTTTTTTTTTTAATAGCAGGTTTTGGTTCTAGTAACACGGGTTCTGTGTTTGGGCAAGCAGCTAATACTGGAGGCACAGTCTTTGGCCAGGCAAGTATTTATTTCTTTTGCAGAAACAAGGTACTGTTATGTATAGTGGGCTTGTTCAGGTTTCCATACCTATCTGATACATTTTTTGGGGGGGGGAAAAAAGATACAATTTGACATGCTCAGTAAAAAGTGTGCCAGTCTGTGCTGAAGATATTTGCTATTCTAGTGGGCACCAAAGCAGCTTCTGCATTAATGTTTTCCAAGGGGTATGGAGAGACAAAAGTTTTATCACATGCAAGATAAGAGAGAGATGCAGTAAATCACCTGCCTTTATTCCATGGAAAGTGGAGGGCAAGTTTTAAAGGCATTGTTCTGTACCATAGACAAGGTTTAAGATGGATTTAAATAAGATTTCATTGTATTATGTGTTGGAAGGTGATTCCTTGCTGGTTCATCAACCCCTTTGTACATCTAGAGGAAGAGGCCAGACCCTAAAATCAGCCTTGGGAGTGTGTACTGATTTGACCTCACTTAACCACCACCACCACCCTTTTTTTTTTTTTTTTTTTTTTTTTTTTTTTTTCTTTTGTCCTTTTTATGTTCTAGCAGCCATCTTCTTCTAGTGGAGGCTTGTTTGGAGCTGGAAGTGGTGGGAGAGATGGAGGCTTCTTCAGTGGTTTGGGAGGAAAGCCAAGTCAGGATGCAGCCAATAAGAATCCCTTCAGTTCTTCCAGTGGAGGATTTGGATCTGCAGCTTCCCAGAGTAAGTGAACAAAGCAAGAATACAAAATGTGCTGTGATTTCCATCTGTGCTTGTGATCCCATCTGCTTTTCTGCTGTTAGTTGTCTTTGAGTAAATTCGTGTTAACATGAAAGACTTCTAGGGGGTAATGGAGACAGAGTATGTGTGATGTGTAATCCAGAATTTTTCTTTTAGGTTTATGGAAAACAAGTAGGAAAGTCATTGAAACAAACAAGCAGATGCAAGAAGTGTGAAGAATATCTGTGTTCTGTAGAGAATTCTTGGCCAAATTCTTCTTTAAAATTGAACGCTCTGAATTCTTGTCACTGAATTTCTGCTTCCAACTTGGTTGGAAGTTAGAACCTTTAATTATCTCTCATCTGCCCTAACGCTATAAAAATTAAGAATCTCATCCTCAAGAGAAACCAAGTCAGCAAGTATGTGATGAATAGCAGTTTCCTCAGCTTTGTCCTAAAAATGGCTATCTTTATGCAGCACATGCAAGATATTTTACCAGAATTTGCTATAATATATGGATATGCTATCGGACATTTTTCATGTCCAGAAGGAGATGTGATTTTTTTTTTTCCTCAGTTGCATGGATGTAGCAAAGAAGAATAAATATGCTTATGGTTGGTTTGGGGATATAGACTGTTTTGGTAAGGAAGCAGAATTATAAAGTTCCTTTTATATTTTATCCAGATTTGGTAGATGGGGTGAGGGTCTCACAGATAAACTCTTATAAGCATCATGAAAGCTGGGTAGATGAGAAGAATTGTGTTGAAGTCCTCCTTGGGAAGAGGGATTCAACACTTGTCCTTTCCTTTGCTTCAGTTATCTAAAAGGATCAGTCCACATGTGTGTGTTAGCTAAATCAATCTGTACGTGAGGTGCCACACCAACCTTCCCACATGTTGCTTCTTGCTGAGCCAACCAACCGAACAAAAGCAGGCAAGAAAAGTAGTTAAGAATACATTAAAGCTACCTGCAGGATCCTTTGCACCAAGGACTTTAAGGGACTATCAGAATTTTTTTTCAAGAAGCTATAAACTGTAAAAGCAAGAATCAATCACTGTCTATTAGTGTAAAGATTTTTTTTTTTCTTAATGCCAGAGTCAAGTTAAAAACACATTAGTCTTGAGTTTTCTGGGCTAACAGGTTTGGGTAATACTCTAAAATCTGAGCTGAGGTGCCGTATGCTACTGTCTGCAGTAGCAATCAGTTTGAAATACTAGCAGGCTTTCTTGTGCCTTTGGTGTGCAGCTTTTGCAGATCTCTGCTTGTTACGTGCATTTTCTGGCACAAAAACTATTCATAATGATTTCCTAAGTGTGGCTTTTATTTAATGAGACTGCCCAGCTTTGTTATTATGTCACTTGTAACCTGGGTTTGTCAGGGGAAAAAAGAAGGGGTGGAGTCCAGCAGGTAGAAAGCACAGAGAAAGGAAAACTGTCTAAGATGTAAAAGTACGGGAAGAAAGGAGAGCCGTAGAATTAGCTGCAAGTGGCTAGAAGCAGCACATCAGGTCTTGTGAGAGCTAATCCATTTATTTTATTACACTTTTAATGATCCGTTGGGATTAATGGTTGAGGTCAGTTCTCTAACCTTGCTAATTTAGTCGTCCTTTATTGTAGTGCTGTTTTTTGTGATGAAATAAACCAGATGGTTCACCAGAGAAAAGCATTGATTATTCTGTGTCCTGCCACTAGCTGCTAAAACTCTGTAGCCTTGTGAATGATGAAAACTTGAGTTATTTCTCAGTAAGGCTGGAAAAGTTTGGCTCCTATTTTAAGGTCCTGTCAGTTTAGTCACGTTAAGAAATACTGACCATTGCCAAAATAGCTGAGAATCTTTAATTTGTGGTGACTTGTGTTGTCTCAAGAGACTGATTCTAGCTGTTCTCACTTGAGGGATTGTTTTTTTAGAGACTGCAGCACAGGATGCAACTAAACAAATCATCCATCACTGTGATTTGCTAGATCGAGTCAGTAAAAGGTTGTTAGTGGTCCATCAGATCCAAAATGGTGGTGTTCATTGTGTGCTTGGGGTCTGGGGAAGTTAAAGGTGCTTCCCTTTCTCCTGATCCAGTTAATGAAGTGTAACATAGAATATTGTCTATCATGAGCTTCACAAGTATTCTTCATCTCCTCAGATTCTACTAACTTATTTGGAAACAGCGGAGCAAAGACGTTTGGATTTGGCAGCTCATCTTTCGGAGAGCAGAAGCCTACGGGCACTTTCAGCTCTGGTGGTGGAAGCGTAGCATCTCAGGGCTTTGGGTTCTCCACTCCGAACAAAGCAGGTACTTTGTTAATCCACCCACTATAAACACCCACACTTACCTGTGAGAGATTTAGTATTCTACCATTTAGGTGTCTGCAGCCTGGATTCAGTACATGTACAGGAATTGTCTCTGAACAATAAATAAAAAATAACTACTGGTTTAGTGAATGGAACTTTAGCTGGTGGATTCAAGGCAGAGATTTATAATCTCTTGTGCAGAAAAGCATCCAGTAAACTACATTTTCAGGTGTTCATTCCAGAAATTTCCATTGCAGTTTAAGAGCAGAGAGCTGTGTGAATCAGTTCTGGTCTTGTGTACCATACAACGAAGAGTACAGGGTATGGAACGCAATAAATGTTTCCTATTTTAGATGCTTCCTTAAAATATTATCTTCCAAACTTCACTCTGGGTTTTGTAGGCCTTTTTGTCCCCATTTCTTCATGGGAGTGAATGCACAGGTGTCTACAGTGGGAATGTTTCCTCATAAAATTCTTATCAGACACGCTTCAGGTCCTTCTCTTTTGAAATGAGTCTGACCTCTCATCATACTTTCTTCTGTGGTTGAGCTGTTGTTCTCTGTCAGTTGAGTTAATTGAATTACATATTGGAAATGTCACAAAACCTCTTTTCTGTTTACTGTCATCTGCCCAAAGAAAGAGCCACAAAAGTAGTGGTGACTGACATGTTCATTAGAACTAAATGGCAGAATGTTCATTGTGTTAATTATCAGGAAAAAGTGGAGGTCCAAAGGGTCAGGCAGAGCAAAGGCTTTCTCCTCCATCCTCAGGCCATCCTTACAGTGAACACTGAAGATAGGTGTTTTGCTCCAAGTGAGCCTCTTGAAGCTTTATCACTGGGGAAAGTAGGGAAGGCTTGGTCTTCCTTGACATTGTATTGAGACAGTGCTGCTCAAGAACTCCCTTGGGAGACGCAGCACTTTGGGAGGAAGCACTCTCTGCTTTGAGAGTGGCTGTGCTCTCGTGTCAGTGAAGTGGCTGTGAGCATCAGGATGATGCTGTCAGATCCAGCAGCCATTTGTACGTGTATCAAGTATTGCTTTCTGCTTGGTAGTGGACTGAGTTTCTTGTCTCAGGCATGCCTCCCATCTGTTATTTTGCTAGAGGAGGAGAAAGGCCTTGCCAAAGCAAGTTCTTCTTTCATTCACTCAGTGACTCTTTCCTTGCTTTTTGACTGTTTTGGTTTCAAAATTATTCTTGTGATGAGATTTTTTTTTAAGAGGTTTCTGCAGAAGGCACATCCACTCACACAGAGCCCCTCAGATCTGTCCCTCCTCTGGTTATATTTGCTAAATCTTGAAACAAATGGTATGTCTTCCTCTCCCAAGTGTGGTGGAAGGATTTACTTGATTTGAATCCCCCTCTGTCCTGGTTACACCACTTAGAAATAGTGGAGAAAGGAAAGTGAAACCTGTTAATATGCACTGCAAGAGCGGGTGTGTGCTGAGCAAAGCTTCAGCCCCTGTGATAAATACTTTAACTTCCTAGAGATAGAGGTAACAAGATATCCGATCTGTGTTTAAATAATTCAGGCCTAGCATTTATTTTTTCCAGACCTTTTGTGTTTACAGCCAAACAGTATCCATTACCTTGACATGGACTGGAATTTCACCCAGGGTATTAAAATGTGTGGTGGTATCCCATCCTCATCCCTAGTCAAATGAAAGAGCAGGTGTCCTTCACGTTCCACAGTGTCAGTTAGAAACAGGCCAATAATATCAGCAGATGAACATAGAATAAAATAATCTGGGTAGAAATCCATTCAGAGCTGCAGAAGGCAGCTAAACCCTGAACAGAAATTGCTAAGAGCGGAGTTCAGTTCTTGATTCCCTGCAGGAATCGTGCAGTTCCACTGACCTGGCATTTAATCATCGCATCTTAGTTTCCACCACTTAAACCAGGATTAGATAATACCCTACCTCCCGAATCTTTTTGCATCACTGGAACACCCAAAAAAACAAGCTTGCTATCTGATCTTAAGAGCTGGGGGAGGCTTGCCCATTGCACTGGGGAGTTCTTCCAGTTTAAGCACTTGCATGAAGTTCCATCCACAAGACACTGGTATGTCCTTCTAGAGCTTTAAATTAGAAGCCAGAGTAAACCACTGCACCAAACCACAACAGAACCAGACTTTACAGGAGACTTTCCATTCTGCGTTGTTATATGCAGTTCCTTTGCATAATAACTTGTTTAAATGGTGATGAGCCAAGCTTTACTTTAAAACTGACTGCATGAGCTAAGCTATTTTTTTCTGGTAAGGAGTGCTAGTTTTATGATGAGGGATGACTGTGTCTTTTTTAATAATAAAAGCATCAGTCTAGTACCTGTTGTATGCATTTTTACTATAACTTGGTTATTATCTCACAATTAAGATACTGGTCTTTTTTTATATAAAGTAAGTAGAAATATCTTCAGTGCACAAGCATGTACGAGATTATCACCACCTAGCCCAGCTCTGGGGACTGAGTCGATCTTGTGCTCAAACATTCAAGAGTCCCAGAATGTGGTTTACTTTTGGATAGTCTCTCAAATCAGTGGCGTATTTTGCATTCATTCAAGGCACTTTTCCTTATATATGTCTTTTGTAACAAAATACCCTGCAGTTTGGAAGCTTTGTGGCAGTTAGTTTTATAAATAATGCTGTGTCCGCATTGTAAGATGAACAGTCCCATCATGGAGATTGTCTGATTGGAAATCTAGTTTTTGTTTTCTCTCTCTGCATTATTGTTTACGTGATGTTCTTGTCCCTTTTTTGCCTCTGTGTTGCTCAGGTGGCTTCGGTGCTGCTCCAGTGTTTGGCAGCCCTCCTACTTTTGGGGGATCCCCTGGGTTCGGAGGGGTGCCAGCATTCGGTTCAGCCCCAACCTTTTCAAGCCCTCTGGGCTCAACGGGAGGCAAAGTGTTCGGCGAGGGTACAGCAGCAGCCAGCGCTGGAGGATTTGGGTAAGCCAACCAGGGTCCAGGGTTGGGAAAACATTGTTCTTGCATGACAAACTACTACACGTAGTTACCTCCGCATTAATGTAAAGAATATATTCCATGATTCATTGCTAAGCTCTAAGTGTCTTTGGTTTGGTTTTGTTGTTTGTTGTTTTGGTTTTTTTTAAAAAAAGTGTAAAACTAAGACTTTAACCCCAAAGGAAATAATGTCTATGATCTCATTTTTAATGCTGAAACTACTATGTTGAATCTTTAGCTTTAGAGATGGGGGGGAGGGGGGAATGTGGGTCATCTTGCAAGCGTCTAAGGAAATGCAGGAGTATTTTCTGTGTGCACACTTAATGAATTCAAATCTAGGCCTGCAAACTATGCCTAGCAAAGAAAATAATAAATATTATCTGTGACTGTCTAGCCACCTTATCCACTTTGTCAGATTTGGGCTAGAGATACTAATGAGAATCCAGTCTGTTCTCTCACCTTTGGGGGTGGGACGAAGCGCCTGTAACAGCCTGAGCTCCCAGAGCGATTTGTGTTTATCCCACACTCATTGTTTTTACTTGTTTCTTTGCCCCTTAAGCCTGTGCCTGGCACCAGAGCAGACAATACTTTTTACCTTGTTTTGTTCAGCAAATACAGAATTTCAAACCTTGCAAAGCAGCTTCTGCAATAGGCAGCAAATGCCCTTCTTCAACATTGTACTACCAGCAAGCAACTCTCCTTCACACCCTGCAATTCTATTCAGACTGAATAGACCCAATTAAAAAATGAAAAACTTCCAGTGAAAAGAGGAAACTGGATGTCTTCCCAATCGTAGTGTTTATGTATTTCACAAGCGTTTGTCTTCGGTTTCAGGAGGAACTGCCTTTACGTAAGGCACATTGGAACATCCAGAAGTGTAACTTGTTCATTTCCCCATGAGGTTAGGCAGACACCCACCTGCCAGGGCAGCACCCCTGAGCTGTGGGAGGCTTCAGCTACCTTCTTCTGCCTGTCCTGAACTCGGGTGCAGCAGATTGGAGAGTCCCTTTGGAAGGGGTACAAACAGAGGCAGCTTAATAAAATCTCTGCGAAGAAGGATGCACTTCTGGGATGACTTAGTTTCAACTCGGCTGATATTTTGTTCAGTTCCAAATTTCAGCCATTGTGCTGCAGGATTTCATACTGAAACTGGATGCATTCAGTGCTCAGCATTGGAAGTTTAAAGATAAAATGGGATTCAGAACAAGCAGCATGGTGATGCAAACAGAGGTCTTGCATAAGCAGTCTGCAGACTCAAGAAAAATAATTCAGTGGCTTAACTTGTGGGAAGTTTTGAGAATTTCTTCTTTATCAAAAAGGTGCAGACTCAGTTGGATATTTTCAGAGTTGCCAGAGGAATTCAATTTTGATTTTTAAAAACTTTCAAAAGAGTGTGCAGAATTCCAAGGCAGCTTTACGAAACTCAAAATCTCACCACAAAATTTTGAGCAATAGTTTAATTCTGCAGTATAGCGTAGCACTTGAGCAGGACTTCCTTTCTGCCTTTCTCTTGAAGTGAAACTTTAAAAATCCCAAATCCAGAGAAGCTACTTGCCAGTACATTATGCGGTATTAGCTCTGGGTTCATGTGATTCATTGCTGCTTCAATTCTGAAAAGTCTGCATCGCTTGATAAATGACTTCAGTATCAAAAATAGAAACCACTACACTTCTTCAAAGCCTGCAATTCCAACTGTTTGTGAGCAAATAATGTTTTGCTTTCATAAACTAACCTCAAGTGCCTCTCAAGTCTGTTTCGCATAGGAGCTTTACAAAAGACCTGGAAATGTGGGCAAGATAGGTTTGATTGTTACCAGGCAATGACTGTATCTCCTGTCTTTTAGGTGTTTAAAAAAAAAATAAATAAAAAAATCTGTCCATAGCTTAAGCTCTTTCTCTACTTGTACTGTGCTTAGCCTTTTTTGACAGGCATGTTCTTCTAGTTGCAACTGAAAGAAGCAGTTTGAACCACAAGTTTCCTTGTCACTATTTTCACCCTCACTTCCTTTTACCGGGTAGACATGATTTGTGTGTTTAGTGGCATAGTCCTGAGGAGATGGAGCACTGTAAAAACCTCATTCTAAAACGCATCACCGCATCTTGCTTCTTTTTAAAAAGAACTACAAAACCTGTTCTGAGAAAACCACATTTGTGTGTCTGAGATGAAGTTGTGTGTCAAGAGCCAAACCAGATGCACAGGGGATGGTTAGCAGGGCCAAAGATGCAAAGTCACCGAACTGCCCGTTGTATCTAACGCTGTGTATGGAAGTGTAGTGTGTACAGTGCCAGCCTCTGGGATAGGAGGGGTGATGTCCTTTACCAGGTGAATTGGTTGTCACACCGCTACAAGGTCTGTCTTTTATCTGGAGAGATATGGTTTGATGTAGTTTGGGTTTGGTGTGGGTTTTTTTTTTTTTTAAAGTCTGCTAGATGTGGATGGATGAAGAGGTGGGTTAACGTGCTGTCAGTTCATATTCCAAGTCAGAAACAACAGGAGCTTGTGTGAGACACAGCCTTTCAAAACTGGCACACTATTTAGCTTGACTGTCTGCTCAGGGGAGGGCTGGTGCTGGCTTAGTACTAGTAGCACTGTGCACTTGCAGAGCTTTAGCAGAGACGGCCATTTGAAAATTTTGTGTCTGCATTTTTCCCAGTTTAAGTCAGAGAAACAGTTGAAGCTCGTGTTTTGAGTGTGCCTCTTGCATTCAGAATTAGGAGAAGTGTACTGGGGGGAGCAGAGAACCATAATGCATATTGAGGTCTCATTTAGTGTGTCATGCTGATAGCTCTACAATGCCTGGTTGGACGGAGTGGGTGGAGAAAGGAGACCAATTTTCATATATAAAAGTGCTTCTTATTTCAGTCCCCAAAAGCAATTAGGGAAGTAATCCAAAGGTGGTGGAGAGAGGTGCCAGGTGGGTGCAGATCTTCAGGAAAGCACTGGAGCTGTGTGTGGTTCCAAATGGGCTGGGGAGAGAAAGGAATTGAGAAATCTGCAGACGGTTTACATGGGCGGTGGTAAGGTACCATCTGAAAGTTGGGAGCCTGAGTTCTCTATCTGGGCTCTGCTTTATGCTCTGGCTGCGAGCAGCTCATACAATTCTGTATTTGCTGCCCTGTTTGTGAAACAAAATGATGCTGTACTTTTGAGCTTAAAAAGTGACAACTACACACAGGGGTGACTTAATATATTCCATTTGATGGCTTGTGTTGTTATTTCCAAGCACTTGAAAACATACCCTTTGTAAGCATGAACATTATCTGCCTTTCTGCCTGGTGTACGTTCAGAATGGGAGATGAACAGACGCTTGTATGTACAATAGTCTTTCCCAAACCAGAAAATCTGTTTCCAGAATGAAAAATTATTCATATCAGGTGGTCTCACTCAATTGATGTATCCTCATTTAAGGAGTGCACTGTTATCCTTGGGGGTATGGGGACAAACTTCCAGTGTGAGAAGATGCTTTCTAACAAAATTTTTCTCCTTAAACTGCAGGTTTGGTGGTACCAGTAACAACACAGCATCGTTTGGCACACTAGCAAATCAAAATACTCCGACATTTGGATCACTGTCACAACAGGGTACCGGTTTTGGCACACAAAGCAGTGGATTCTCAGCTTTTGGAACAGGTGGAGGAGGTAGGAAAAGTTAAAATATAATGAACCCAAGAGGCTCTGTGTCCCCAGCTTTCCCTGGAACTTGGGCGTGACTCTTCACTGTGACGTGACTCCCTGTCAAAAGTCTGCCTGGTCCTGCTGCCCTCCAGGGAATGTCCTGGAGAATTGAGCTGCAGGGTGGGGAGTAGAGACTTCTCAGACTTTAGCTCATAATCTCATCAGTGATTTGCTGTGTGGCATGTCAGTAAATCACTCTTCTTCCTGACACCTCATTAGGTTATTTTTTTCCACCCCTTTTTGTGGAGTTGTTCGTTCTTCTCAAAGGAAAATACTGAGAAATAATATCTCTTCAGCATCACATGCATGGGTATCTATATGTAAGTACTTAGTGTCAAAAGAATATGCACTGCAAATTTGAGCTAGAACACCAATAGCCAAATTTTTATCTGATGTAATTCAGTGAAGCTGTAGTGATTTAGGCAGGGCTGAGAACAGAGCCTTTGAGCGAGGAGGTGTTCCGCAGTGGTCTGCCTGTCACCATTGGCTTGCATTAAGCACAAATTCCATCTTCAGAAAAGCAGCCCTCTATTTTCATGGAGAGGTGAATAAACCAGGCACATTGTGTGCAGTTGCTGCTAAAGAATGGACCTAGCTGATAAGCAGTGAAAGCAAAGCCCTCTTAGGAACCGAGGCAAGTCACTTTTCTTCTAGATGGAGATTTGACTTTCATTGTTTGCCCATTGCTCTTTCCCTGGCCTAAGGCAGGAAAGAAATGTTTTCAATCTCTGTGTGGGAGGGGACATTTACTACAAATCTTAAGCATTCATTTTACCTTTTAACAATTATTTTTTCTAATCTTGCGTTTCTTTCAGGGTTCGGCTTTGGATCATCTAACACGTAAGTACCATTTTGTGTCTAGCTCTTCATTAAAAATACAAATAGAATCAGAAAAAGAGAGTTGAATGGTTTGCAAGAGCAAGCTTTGAAAGTAGCAGCAACATACGAGTTCTGATTTCCTTCTTAGTAGCACTGCATAGAGCTCAAAGCCAGGCTCTGAATGTGTGCTATCCAGTGAGGTTAATCTTTCATATAAGAGAGGATTTTCGGTTAGATCATGCTCTTTCTCCACCTCTCGGGCACTGATGTGTGTGCTCAAGCTGTGTGTGTGAACCTAGTATCTACTCCATTTATCAGGTTGAAACAAGGAATGAAATAAATCGGTACTTTTCTGGCTGAGTTGAGATGGTGATTTACAGTTAAAGAACAGGACTAAGAGCTGAAGTTAACTCTGTCATCCACTCCGCCACTTTCAGCAAGTTTCTTAAATTTTGTTTCCCTGTCAAGTAGAGAGAGCATGTACCCCTCCAGATGGTAGGCTCTAGAATAAGCTTAATATTATCTAGTTAGTATGTGTTGATGCAGTCTCAGGTAAAAGATGATGGAAATACCAATATGTTTCATAATAAGCCTCTGATTCTAGGGAGACTGGAAGTTTGTTTGAGAGATCTGCTGAACTAACACTGCCTGAGGGAGACTCTAGCACTCATTGCTGTGTTTGGTTGTTTTTTTTTTTTTCTTTCTTGCTCCACAGATCTTCCTCTGGATTTAGTGGATGGAGAAGCTAGGAACATCCTGACCTGTGCCGTAACTCCTGCATTCATGAGTCACCTACATGATCAATATCCAAACAGCTTTTCCTTTAAATATAAGTTCTCAGACTTTTTTTTTTTCTAAAAAAGAAAAAGATTTTGCTTATTTTTATGCAACGCTTGTTCTTGGTCTATATTAAACTATTTTATCTTCCTTGATGTTATTTGTGTTGGAAGGGTTTATCTCCCCGCATCTAGAAGAAATAGATATATGCTGTGGTTACCAGCCCTGTACTGGACTTAGCTTTCTGCTGTTCATCCCTTGCGTAGACAAGGGAGTAGCTCAAGTTGGTTCCTGATATAAGCCAGCACATTTTTCATTGAAGAGAATGACTGATTATCCTAGGCTCTTAAGAAGGGGCTGCAGTTTGCCCTGCTAATTTTAAGTATAGGATGGGGCACATGCTTATCTCACTGAAGTGCTAAAACTGAGTCATGTATGAGCCAGAGGCTTAGTGGAGAAATAGGAAATTATCTGAGAAGAAACTGGCAGCATGCAGAACACGTTCCCATGGCAGTAACATTCAGCAAAGAGGTGGGAGGTAAAAGCTCTCCTATTTTTACCTTTCTGTAAATTTTACAGAACTCAGAAAATGGCACTCGTGTTATAGGGAAAACTTCTGGCCCTTGAAGTAGAAGCGTGACCTCCATCCAGAGAGGCATTAGTGATTTTGCAGCTTATGGATGTTGGATTCCACTGTCAGCAACATTTTTTTTTCTATAACATGTATGATAATGTCCTCTTTCCCTGTAGCTCTTAACTTTAGTCGATATAGTTTGTGAAATTCTCATATGTTTATACTTAAACATACTGAGCAAATGTTTGAAAGAATGCCCTGAAGGCATTCTGGACAAACACTTTTTCTATTTAATGCATCTGACCTCCATGAAACCTCTAAATGATGTAATGGGTTTTTGTTGCTCTGTAAAAAATGCATTTGAAATAACAGGTTATGTATTAGTTGAATACATGCAGATTGGATGGTTTTATTTTGTTGGTCCTATTAGGACATTTTGGGATACTTCTGCTTTTTCTATTTTCAGCAGAAACATTCTAACATTTCTTTTTTGTTGCGTTTTTGTTTTGTTTTTTTTTTTAATACCACACAATATGATGACAAGTGTCATTTTTCTGGTTTGGTGGGCGTGTGGTCACTTTTTGGAATTGTAAATAGTTGATAACTGCTTGTTTTCATGTCTGGTGTTATAAACTAAATACTTATATCAATCAACAGATCCTGAAGAAATTGCTTTTTTTTTAAGTCAACCCAAACCATTAGTGTTCATCCTAACACCTGTCCTAGCTGTGGAAATGTCCTTCCTATCTCTGCACCTGGGAATGACATCAGGTATGTTCCCTTTAAAAAGGAAGACCACTGAAATAGAGGAAATTGAAAGGAACCCCTCCTGGTACACTCTGCTACAGAGAGCTTTGCAAGGCTCTAAGGATTTCTGAGCCCTGCCTCGCCACACGGGAGGCAGCACTGTTGGGGGTTTGTCTGAAACCTCCCTGTCCCTCTACAGGCAAGAGTGAGGCTCTAGCAATCCTGGGGCCACAGCACTAGAACAGAGGAGAACATTTTCTGAAATTTTCTGGTTTAGAGATGGAAGAAAAATCAGAAGATGGGTTGAACTGTGCCCTCCCAGTATGTTCTCCTTGACTATACAACATTTCTTAAGGCCTAGAGGTGATACTGCTGTTCTGCTTTCCTTCCTCTTTATAAATAGCAGCTGGCCCAAACCATTGACCTTAAATTCTTTGCATTAATCTCTCCTCGCTGTGGCATGCGACACCTCCTAGCAAGGCTGTATCAGCTGTGCTCCCCCAGATAGCTAATAAACCTCTTGCTAGGGAGAGGATTGGCTTGGTAAGAATGCGATGTTGGCATGTTGAGCCATTTAAAGTTGCTTTTTTGGAATGATGGGAGCAGTTGGGGGCTGTCCCTGCTGTGCTGCTTTGGTACCTGTTTTCCTTTACCCTCAGCAAGTGAAGGGCCATTAGAATTACTCCAGATCTGGATTGAACACACATTTTCTTGCAACACTTCCAAAATCACAGCTGAAACAACCCAATCCCCTGAACTATCTGCCCTTGAGAAAACGGGTGCTGCTCCTGGTTTCCATAGTAGCTGCTGGAGGAGTGGAGCAGTGTAGAGAGGCTGATCGTGACCACAAGCCTACAGGAATATGCACAAAACCTAGCAAAGTCGACTTTGAAAAAATCTGCATTTTTATTAGATGACTCAAGGACTTGGCAAGTGTGTGTGGCGCTGGGTTGGTGGTTGCCAGGAGCTGTTATAGTCTGTCATCTGTGCTAAGTGGCCTGTGATCTCATGGCCTCTGTCCAGTTTTTTGTGGACACATGTCCACCAAAAAATAAAACTACTAACACACATAGCCCCTGTCTTGGCAGAGCTGGTAAAGAAGCCATTGACTAGCTGGGCTTGGAGACCTTGTTCCAGGAAAGTGCTGGTTAATCCTCAAGTAACTAATAGCAGTGGTTCCGCAACTACTCTGAAAGAGCTTATTTTGTCTGTGCTAGTGGGGTTGTGCCTGCCTTCTATGAGGAGAAGAAGAGAGTCTGAGAAGAAATTTTCTAAGGCTTTTATCAAAGGTAGATTCTTAATTATATCTAATGAAAGAACATGCTTATTTTTTCCCTCCCCTGAGACTAGGCCATGGCCTCGGGGCAGCGGCAAGGCGGGTGCTGAGCACTAATGATGGTGCTACAGACTTGGTGGGTGGAGCAGAGCCTCAGGCATAGAGAGGATCTCCCCAAACCCATGGAGACACCAGACTGGGGGTTTCTGCTCCCTCAAAGGCTAAAAGAGCCTTTTTCTAGAAATGGGGCCAAATGTAGCTTTGTCACAAAGAGACACAAAAAGAAAGAATTATTCTTTAATCTCCCATTTAAAAGGTTTTTACTGTGGAGTACTTGGTATTCCCGAATATAGGTTTCTTGCAGAATACCAGTGGTCTCTTGGCTCTTCTGTGCCGCAGTGCCCTGCTGCAGAGACACGACCAGAGGACCCGTGCTGGTGCCATCCCTCTGCTGTCAAACCGAGGAGGGATAGCGGGGCTGAAGTTCATCCCATGCTGCTGGGTTATATCCCTCAGCTCGCCTTGTCCCTTGTGGCCACAGCAGGCCCCAGGGACAGAGCTAAAACCCTGCTGATGCTCTGTGGGAGAAACTGGGATGTGTTTGATGTGAGGATCCTGTTTAGGATGGGTTTATTGGCCTCAACAGCAAGCAGCCGGGGTGTGTGTGGGGGGGTGAGTCTTGGGAATGAGTAGGATAGGAAAAGTGCTGCTGAACATCTCAGCCCTTGCTCCAGCGGCTCGGAGCAGGGAGTGAGGCAGTGGAAAGCCGAAGGCAGGTGCTGGCACTGCCTCTCCTCCCACCCCTTTGCCCAGGAACCAGGGGCCGGGTCTCGGGTGGGTGCTGGTCTCAGCCCCTTGCCCACAGTCCTGGGTGGAGCCGCCTCCCTTCATCCCCCCAGCCCCTGTACATGGCCCTGCTGCTGCAGACCCAGAGGCTGAAGTGACATTTTATTTATCCCTCCTTAGTTTTCATGTGTCTTACCCTTGTGCATTGCTTTCAGCATTGCTTACAAGGAAAAATAATCCTGCATGAGGCTTTGGCATGAGCATGTGTGGTAGTGCCGAGGGTTTTTGTTCCTGGATAAATGTCGCATTGAGCCCCAGGGACCCGCAGCTCGGCGGGGATGAGCCGCCCTCGCTTGGCAGCGAGATGAGCCCTGTCCCTTCTCCTCGCAGCAGCAGCGAGGCCCCGGGGTCTTCCAGCTGTTGACAAGACTGACTCTTCCTCACCAAGGGATGAGCTTGGACACATCAGCATGTTTTTTGAGTCTGCACCCCTACGTGTGCCTGTTGCTTCTGTCTCAGCCCCCCGAGGGTCCCACGGGTCTGTTCAGCACGTTCTCTGTCTCGTACCATCCCCACCTCATTTTTCTGCAACTTCCAGTAGGTCACAAAGCCTCTCTGCAAGCATGTCTCTGGCTCCTGCTGCAGCACTGAGACTTCTCCATATGTGCCTTTATCACAGACGGGCACACTTTGTGCTGCCAGTGCCCGTATCTGAACTCGTACCGTTCCCTGAGCACGAGATAAAAAAAAAAAGTTGCGCATTGCCAGCAAGCGCATTGCTCGAACAATAACGGCAGGGCTGTCGCTCATCCCCGGTGCTGTGGCACCGTTCCTGGGCACATGCAGCCGTGGGCGATGCTGTGGGTTGGGGCTGCAGCCCTGCCTCCTCACAGCGTCCTCTCCCAGTGCTGGAAGGGACTCCCCCACCTTACACCACCCTCTCTCGGTGCTGGGTGCTGGGGAGCCTCAGTCCTTCCACTGTGCTGTGCTTAAATGATGTCAGAACAGCTCCTCCATCAAAGGGGAAAACAGCTGTTACTCTATTTTGTGGGGGAAAGGTGGGACAACCCCAAAGTTATGAATTGTGGCCCTGACTCTCCAGGGCTGCTCTCCTGTGTTTGGGCTTGTTGCCCAGTCCCTGTACCCCCTATAGGTTGGTGGGGACCAATTCACAAAGGTGTCACTAAAGGCAGCCTTGGAAATCTCAATGCAGATTGAGGAGCTCTGTTATAATTACGTACAACCCATGACACAGTATTTTTTTTTTCATGGATGCTTTAAGGCTCTTTAGTGCATTGCTAAAAATATTTTGCTTTAAGACTTGAAAACATAAAGGAATAAAATGAGTATTTGCAGCTGCTGCACATGAACAGCTTAATGAGATGTGAGATAGAAGAAACAGGAAACAAAACCTGATTTTCATCAGCGGAGGGAAGTCCCTGCAAAAAGTTTTGAGCACGGACTGTGGAGGCCAAGGGGTATTTCTTCAAATGAAGAAACTGTTGCTTCAGTCTGCTTAAAACTGAGGTTAGAAAATCATGAAGCCAAGTGACAAAACCTCTAGAAAGGTGAAGTTTGATTTCTGACCTCAGCGTTGACAAATGCACTGCGCTAAAGGATGGACGTTGGTGTCACCTGAAGCACCAGAACTGGCCTCCGCCATCACCCGAGCTGGGTTCAGCAGCCGATGTCCTTCCCATTGTCCTCCTGATCCTTCTCAGGGGCTTCTCTAATGCCTCTGTGCAGACAGTAAGTGACTGGGCACTTTTGGCTTTTTCAGGGTGTCACCCAAAACAGCTGTGAGTTGGCTGGTGTCCCCTCTCCACTCCTCCCTCCCTCCAAAACTAGGACATCTAAATTTAACCTGCTATCAACAGACACGGCTGGAGAGTTTCCACTGTGGAAAGGAATCCCACTCAGAACCTGTCCTCTCCTCTGCTCAGGCTCTGTCCGTGCACATGCCTTTCCTCCAGCCGTGACCTCCCATATTTCTTCCTCCCCTTCCCCTCCTACACTTGGGTTTGTGTCGCTGCTACGTGCTGGTGGAGCTTCCCAAGCTGCCTACATGGCTGGTTGTGTTTTATGTGGACACACACCTTGGTGGTTTGTGTGTGATGGTACCCGCTCTCCCTGCTGCCCGGCAGCAGCCTGCAAAAGGCTCTCAAGCAGGGAAGGTTGGCTACAACTTTTAAGGGGCATAACAGGCTTGTAACAAGCTCTCTTCGTGCAGGACCCAGGGGGATGCAGCAAAGGGGAGACATCAGTGTGCGGTGCACCTTGCTGGGGGGTGCCCCACAGGTGATGGGCACACTGTGGGAAAGCCCCAAGTGTGGTGTGGCTCCACCAGCCCAGCGGGGCAGGAGGGTCCTGGGGGTGCTGGGTGGGAGCCAGTGCAGCAGCATGATCTTGAGGCAAGCCTTGATGCTTCTTAGGTCGCCCAGAGAAGCTGTGGCTGTCCCCTCCCTGGAAGGGTTCAAGGCAAGGTTGGACGGGGCTTTGGGCAACCTGGGCTAGTGGAAGGTGTCCCTGTTCATGGCAGGAGGGTGGGAACTGAATGATCTTTAAGGTCCCTTCCAACCCAAACTGTTCAATGATTCTTTGCAGGCTGGACCAAAGAGCAGCAGAACTACTGAAAGAACAAAAAAAAAAAAAAAACCAAAAACCTGCATCTGCTTTGGGGCACAGCTGGTGGGAAGTGAGCCCATGGTGGGATCGGTCCATGGCAGGAGGAGCTGGAGTACAGACCTGGCAGGTGCTGGGGCTGGGCCTGGGGAGTAAGGGGTTAGCACAGGAGCTGTGCTGGCCACTCTGCCCCCCCTGCTCTCTGAAAACAGAGAGTTTCCTTTACTGAAAAGCAAGCAGAACCTAAATATGAAAAATGTGGGGGAAAAGAGTGAAATGAGTGTAGTGAGGTATTTGAAAACCAGTCATATACTGCAGCAGCTTTTAGCCTCTCCTGTGCCCGGGTCTGAAAGGGCAGGGCTGGCCGGTGCTGCCCGGGGTAGCGGAGCCTGGCTGAGAGGCTGCCTCTCCCCAGATGCAGTATTTACAGCTAACATCAGAGCAGGCTTTTGCTAAATAAGCAAACAGCGTCAGGAAACTGAACTGTGCGGAAGTTCAGCTGCTGCCTGCGCCAACCGGCTCGGCTCTGTCCTGCTGTCACAAGTTGCACAGCAGCTTGGTGATGAAAAATGCAGGATGTCGGCTGGTATTTTTAACCAGAAACCTCCACACTCTATCTGATGTGGTGTAAGAGCTGAAATGGAGAGAAAAGGCATTCGTGGTAAATGGGATATTTATCGCTGCCTTGAAACGTGAGCGCAGAGGTGGTGGAGCTGTTCGTTTAAAACCAGCCACCGCCCAAACGACTCCAGGCAGACGCGTTTGAAAATTCCACTTTATTTCTGTTATAAAAGCAGTGGTTGGTTTTTTGTTTTGATTTTTTTTTTTTTACATCTCTGTAAGTTTCCAGACTCGGTACATCTTGGTTTTGTTTTCACAGTATCTCTGCAAGACCAAGGACGATTCTTATTGCTGTGCCAGGAGCCAGGGCAGGAGGGACGGCGGCGCGGAGGCTGGGGCAGCCCTGGCCTCACCCCCCCGCCGCGGGACCCAGCCTTGCTCTCCGCTGCGCCAGCTCAACAGGTCTACCCCTCCCCAACGCTGCTTTGTATCTGGGTTGACTCTCCGAGGGGCTGCCCCTCTCCCGCCACGCTCGTCTCAGTGTCAAGGGTAGGAAACGAGAACCAAATGGTGCACGAGGTCCTGCTCGGCTGCCTGCTGGCCCTGGCCCACTGCTGGCTGGGGGGAGAGGGCACAGGTGAGGGTCTTGGCCAGGGCTCTCTCCCTGCTGCTTCCCACCCTGGACCACTACAGGATTTTGGCAGGGATGTTCAGGCTCCCCGCTCAGCTCCTGCAGTGATTTGGGGCCATAAAGAGCTGAGCACCATTGGTGGGAGAGGTGAGGCAGGGACAAGCTCATGTCCGCATCCCGTGTTGGTGCCCCATCGCCTTCCCAGTGCATCCTTTGTGCATTCCTGGTTCTGCGAAAAGCTGCCAGAGAAGGAGCTTTATTTATCGCTGCTTATTTACCACCTTACTTGGGGCAGGATGCCCCAGGTCCCCAGACATCTAAGTCCCCACAGGGACCCCATCAATCCCCACTCTAACCATATGGCTATTAACCAGCTGTAGTGGTAGCGATGTCTGTAGCACCTGTTACTTCCAGCCACCGTTTATTTTATATTCGATCTGTCCCCGTCAGTTTTGTAATGAAGCAGCATTGGAAAAACATCACTTTTAATCACAACGCATGAAATCTCAGAAGAGGCAGCATCACTTTTCTGTGCCGTGTCTGGTGATACAAATGGAGGTGGAGGGGCTTGTTTCAACCTAGGCACGGGATAAAGGCATTCTTTGGGAAGGGAGAAGTCCATGCAAAGCTGACCCCAACGTGAAATCTGAATTTAATTTTGCTGCTTAGCTGGGTCTGTTCAGTGCAACAGGACGAATTAGCCAGGAGGTTACTGTCAAATTGCATGGATGCATCCAAGTCCACCAGGTAGAGGGATTAGGAGGAACCAGACTGACTTAATGCACTGGGAGACTAAGTCCAACACAAAGCTAAGTGGAAAAGGACATAGGTGTTCCCTGAATGTGGTTTTTGGTGACTGAGAAGAAATCTTTCCGTGGAATTCCTTCGTGCAGCTAATTAAGACAACTGGGTACGGTTTCTTTGACCCATGCTGACATCAGTGAGAACTGTAAGTACTCAGCACCTGGAGACAAAGTGAATACCAGACATAAATACCCCTTCTGCTTCCACCCGTGGGACTGCCCAGAAATGCATCTAAGCGATAGCCGAGATGTGTGCAATTGTTATCAGCTATTCACCCACAGCTTGCATTTTGTCCTCTTCTGCGTGTATTGCCTAGGAGAAAATACAGACAAGTCCCAGAGGCCTGTGCCAGTAGAGCTGTGGTTAGGATCTGAATCCATGTAAGAAAATGGAATTTAATACAGAGAGTGACTGTGCAAGTCAAAGTCCCCCTAGCTTCATCCTTTATAGTCCCAAAGCCTGGATTTGGGCAACCTTTGGCTCATGGATTTGGGTTTGATGCAGTCCATTCTTTTGCAAGCTGCTTGTAATGCTGGACTTCCTCCCTCAGAGATCTGCCGGCTGAAGAGAGCAGCTCTGTGGCCGAGCATCTCTGAAAACCAGTGCGTGGAGGAGGGCGGTCTCCCCTGGAAATGGGGGTACGGTTGCAGGGACCCAGGATCCTTGTTTGCTGGTTTGAGACTGTCATGGTGGGGTGGGGCGTATCTTCTGGGTGTGCTTTCCCCAGGCATGTGGTGACATTGAACCTGTTGCTGAAGTAGATGGTGTGGCTTTGGAGAAGCGAGGAAGGAGAATTTCTTGCTGGTAATGTCCCGTGTGGAAGATGAAGATGGAAATAGCAGCTAATTGGTGTCTCTCCAAGGGGAGAGCCCTTTTGAGCAGCATGTGTGTGGTTGTGAGACCTGTTCAGACCAGCTCAGCAGGGCCAGGCTTGTATCTGGCACGCTGAGCTCTCTTCAGTCCTAGCTCTTGAGGCAGATTGTTAATTAGGGGAAGAAATGTTATCTAGGGGAAGGAGCTGCAGAGGGAAGGGGAAGTGATCTGCCTCAGGCCATGTGCTGGAGCAAGAGAGCAGATCCTCCGCGCCCCATCCTGTGCCCTGCCCTCCAGATGCCACCTCTGTTGCAGAACTTCCTCTGCCGGCAAACTGTGCCCCCCCCTTCATTCAATCGGCTCCTCTGCGCCGCCTTCCTCCGCAGAAGTGCAGCTGGTTATCTCTGAAGCCATCTGGACAAGCTCCTTATTAAAACCTACTGGTTCCACCTCCTGCTTCAAATCCACCTTACTCACTGGAGGATCTACACCCAAGGCTCAGGTGTTGCCCTGCTTGTACCTTCTCACACATTACCCTTTGCTACACAGACGTTTGTGCCACAACCAGACAGGCACAGAATCACCCCCCGGGGTCCTGTCTGTACCCCATTCCTGACAGTCGTGTAGATCACGAGGTCATCTGGAAGAAAACGATCTACTAACCCCAGTGTGATTTGTTATCATGGGAAGAAGAGAGTTTTTCATAGCTTTTGCTTCTAGTGTTTGTTAGGAATGGGCGCCTGTTATTTTCAGACGTGGCTGTTCCTGAATTATGGATATTGCTGGGTAGACTCAGTAGATAAGATCTGCCCTCGCTTACACCCATGCATCTCCAACGACTTCAGAAGGATCCTTTTTATATCCTGTTCTTCTTACAGCACCATCATTTGGATTTCACGGGGAAACGGGGCAGCGGAGCTTCACCCAACAACAGCTGCTGCATGAGCCATGGGCTCTTACGGCACAAGAAGGTGAGACCGTGGGCTAGCTGGGCAAACATCTGCCCAGTGGGACATCCTCCCCCTCTCAAATTATGTTGACTCCCAGGGCCACAATTCCAGCTGTCAGATTATCCCATATTATAATGCTAATGGGAGACTGAGATCGCCAAGTGTAAGCAGTGCAGGCTTGCTTGCTACCCCTTCTGTGAAGCAGGGAGATGGCCTAGTAGCTCCCACTCAAGAGACATCCTACAGCAGGTTTATTATTTGCATTGCTTAGAAAATTAGATTATTTCCATGCTTCCTTATTCCAGGTTTTAAAACCAGGAAGACTTTCTTTTTATAACACTTCTTCCAATTTCATGCCCTTTTCATCCATCAGCCCATGACACACTGACAATCTATTCCTTGTTCCAAAACTTTCTCCCAGAAATTGTGTAGAAAGGACATTCTGCCTGGTGGTATTTTTGTTGTGGTTTGTTTTTTTTTGTTTTTTTTTCAAACGTAGCTTTAAGGCAAAAGTTTGGCAATGCAAAGCAAAGTCTACATAAGGCCGCATGACTTGGATTTGCAACTCAGAACCTTGCAGCTTAAAAAAAAATAAAATAAAAATCATCCTTATCTTAAATAGTCAACTTTTTGCTCCAGGAACTTGTTTCATTCTCAACTAAAAAGAAAAAAAAAAAAAAAAAAAAAAAAAAAAAAAAAAAAAAAGACAAAATCCCAAATAAAATGTTCTTATTGTTCTGGGCAGTCTGGACAAGCTAATGAGACTGAAGTTCAAACAGTAACTCAAGTAGGGAAGGAAAAAAAAAAAGCTATACGGGTAGACATCAGTGTTAGTTTCTTCCCTTAGGAATCCAGTGATGAGACAGACCCCAGTCAAAGGTCTCCTCTTTAGCTTTAGCACAGTGAAATCCGTCCCAATGGGAGAAGGTAGAATGGTTGCATTTGTTGAATGAATAAAAAGTGCATTTTGATTTTGCTCAGATTATACATGTGTATTCTAATACCTAAGTGATTGTTTTGCTTCATTGTTTGTTGGTTTGGTTTTGTTTTTTTTTTTTCTCCCTTTCGGTGCCGGGACGCCAGGTTTATATTATCGATGTTTTGGAGGTATCACCACGAGTGGTGGTCCATCCTTTGGCCTCCACATGAGTACCTGAGCATCATTGGCATTGGGTTTGACAAGGGCACTGGGTGGTATTGGCTCATTCTTGCTAAGGACCTGGGGCTGCTCTTGAGCAGAGGGCTCCTGCAGCTTGGCACGCTGCCCCAAGGGTCTGCTGGGATTCACCTCGATGCCCAGCCTCATGCGCCATTTGATAGTCTGCAAGGTCACCATTTCGTTGGTAGCCGTGTTGGTTGCCACCAGCCAGGTGGTGAAGCTTTGATCCCGGTGAATGCTTGTGAGTTTGGCCACGTTGCTCTCGCTGACGGGCACTGCCCACGTCACGCTCGGGTAAAAGTTGTCGTTCATGCTGATGTTGAACTTGGACTCCTTCTTTGTGGGACCCACGATGGTGCAGGTTTCTGTCGTGTTTCCATACCAGGGGTAGTTCACTCCATCTGAGTCACTGATGGCCTGGATTTTACCGTCCAGTAGATCCGGAAGCTCCCAACTTGACCTGCCGTAATCAACAACAAATTATGGATATTGCATTAATTAATTAGTTTAGAAACATGCTGGATTTCAAGGAAGGAGAGGAAGTAGTTGTGAATGCATTCCCCCTTTAGCTTTTACTGGAATTTGTGCCTTTCATGCCATCCTGCTGCAAAAGCTTATCCCTGTCATTAAAAACATGTCTGCAGATTTCCAGGACGTGGCAGTCTGTCCTGCTGTTAAACTCCACTGAGGCACCATCACCCTTCAGGGCCAGGGCTTTCCTTGCTGGAAACGGTGGCTACCTGGAGTGGTTCAAGATAAGGTAAGGCTGCAAAGGGCAGGTGCTCAGGAAAGCTCCAGTGGTGGAGAAAATCCAGTGCTGCAGGTGCCTTCCCGCAGCTCCTTGGCTGCCTGAGCGTGGCTGAACACAAGGACTCGCTCCAGCACCGCGTTCAGGATCCCAACTCTTGTGCCAGCGAGAGCAGGGCTTAGGGGCTGGGTTTCTTCCTCTCAATAGCACAAAATGTCCCATGTTGGCACAAGAATGGGCAAGCTCAGAGCTGGCCCTGGGGCTGAGGTGACAGAAAACCTAAGCAGAGGAAGATCAAGGACTCAACTGGACCATAAAGCTTCCAATTGCCCCATTCTGTTCTTTCTTAGTCCCTACCTGCAAACACTCATTTTCTCTCTGGAGAAGCCACTGTCCCTGCCCGCCGTCTGCCCGGCGCTGGCAGTGTAACCCATCCCTCTCCAGCCCCAGGAAGGACCCGGTTCAAAGGCTGCACAGCAGGCTCGGGGCCGGGGATGGTGTTACAGTAATCAGAGAAACCGAGGTCAGCCAGCTTGTAAAAACTGCCTGAGCCGGTCGTCTGTGCGCTGTGTGCTCTGCTTGCGAGGCTGACAAAAAGGTCAGCCCTTCTAGCAAGAAAGTAAGTGAAAATGGTCCTCTGTCACCTTGTAATGCTGATGCACAACTTGGATTTTTTTTTTTTTATTACCTTCCAATTTAATTTTTAAGATTAGATTTGTCAATAGAAGCAAACTCCTGTAAATGTCTCAGGAAAAGGGCTGGATATTTGCAAAGTAAAGGCAGTAAGATGGCATAACCAGAGACCATGTGCTCAGTGAAAGTGTATCAGTGACATTCTCTTAAAAACCAGGCTGGTAGAGGTGGCTCTAACGTACCTTCTCCCTCTTGCTTAGGAATCAGCCCTCCCCGCCACCCAGAGACGCTGTCCCCGCCGTCGAGGTGTCAGAAGGGGCTGTGTGGCAGCAGCTCGCTCCCAGCGTGGCATTTGCACTTGACCCCGTCGTGGGGCCGGGACGCTGAGCTGTGCCCCAGCCCCCCAAGCCCTGCGGCTCCCCGCTGCGGGCTGCGCCGCGGGACGTGGTTTATCTTGGGAGGGAGACAGAGGGGACACACTGAGGCTGGTCAGGGTCACCGTCCCAGCCACCCGTAAGTCCGGGGCTGCTGCTTAAAATAGCCCCTTGAGTGAAGCGGGGGCTGCGCTGGGTGCAGGCGGGGGGGGAAGGCATCAGGCCTGGCCAGCTCTGACGCAGCTTTGGGACAAGCTGCTCCTCTCCACTGGCCAGGACTAATGTGACCATCTCACAAGGCTGTTCTGATTGTTAATTAGTTAATGACCGTGAAGTGCCTCCATGTTTGTAACCACTGGATCAGTCAGCGGTTAGCTGTAAATGTCTGGCTGTAGCTAGAAAATACCATGGGGGATTTAAAGATCTCGTTTATCTTTTTTCATGCCAGTGGAGGGGGGGGTCCTAGCAAAAATCCCCCCCTGTGCTGTGGCAGGCGTTGGGCGAAGGGCCACACCATGCGGGAGGCGGCTGGTTTGCAGGTCAGATGGCCTGAGAGGTTAAGGGCGAGGCAGGACGAGGCTGCTGCGGGGATGCAGGGATGCTCCGAGCAGCAGGACCAGGGGTTATGCAAGTGTGACATCTCCTCGCACAGACTTACGGGCTGCTGTCAGCTACAGCACCACAGCTGCAGCAATCCTCCCTCCTCAGCTCGTAGCCAGCAGACAGAGGGAGTCCTTTCCCTGGAAGAAAATTTTTAGTGAAGGCAGCCAAAATGAGATCCTTGAGCAGTTCTGCCAGGACCCCCATCCCCTGGAGAGATGTTTATACGCTCTGCTCGTTAAACCAGACTCATCCTGGCTCACCATCCCCTGCGCCCTTCAGGGACAGCTGAGCAGGGAAGGGCTCTGGGGATGCTGCATGAACTCAGCCCTCGGCAGGCAGGTAAGGCGAGGTCGTGCCCTACGGCCCCCCACCACAGCCCAACTCTGAAACATCATCTGGGGGTTCTTTCTCCCCCTTTCACTGGGTGGTTTAGGATTACTTTCCATTCAGACAGTGGCCCAGGTGACTTGGCTGTCACCTGGAGGTGAGACGTGACAGTTGCCTAGAGGTTTAGCCTGTGACAGGTCTGGTGCTACGGTGCAAGCACAGCATCTCTGCGGGTACCGAGGTGTCAATCCGGGACCTGAGGTACTACAAGAGGCTGATAACCCCACACTGGGTCACTCCAGCCTACTCAAATCAGAGCTGGTGGGCAAATGGCAGGAGAATCAGGTAGAGGATGCTCAGAAACTGCTTGTCCCCATCTTCATTCCTAATAGGTGTATCTGACCCCAGACCAGTACAGAATTGCAGGATCTTTTCAGAATTTGCCCAGAGTTTTAATGGGAGCAAAAAAGGTGGAACTGTGTCAGGGCCCGGGGAGGTCGCTGAAGGCAGGATGCTGTCTGCAGAGCCTGAGAAACCCCACCACAAAGCCGAGCATGTTTGTGAGCAGTGTGGCTGCGCTCGGGGTGGCTCAGAAGTGCACCCTGCTTATGAAAAGGCGTGGGCAGGAATGGGGAAGAAGAAACTGGCCTGTGTTTCTTCGTCGATCACGCTGTGCCTAATTCTAATGTGTGTGGTTAACCCTGGGGTTTCAAAACCATCACGCTTTATCTGTGCAGCTTAGTAACAAGAAAAATGAGGCCTTATGAAGATCCCATGACTGGAGCAAAAGCAGAGGCTGCACGATGGGTGCTGCTGCTGGTGGTTGCCCCTCGCCTGCTGCTAGAGCAAAGTCTCTGTGCCAGCCAGCCTGGTAGCCTTTGCTTGCATAGTGTGTCCATGTTAAATAATATGCCAACAACTGGCCTGTTGGATGATTTTGGAAAGAACGCTGTGGAATGATCTTTGGCTGCATCAGCATCTTTCTGTGGTGGTGCCGAGCCAAGAGAAGACCAGAAAGTGCCCAATAAACATTTTGCTGACAATAGCAGGGAAGAGGCATGAAAAGAAACCAGCCTATCTGGTTTCATGGATTCACTCTAGCTGATCAGCTCCAAAATCAGTAGATTCTGGCTCATAATACTGACAAGCTTGTTTCTGCTACTTCTGAAACCTTCAGAGCCAGTATGGGCATTGCTAGAGATTGGAGCTGCCAACAAACCTCTCTTAACAAATGTCTTCTTGCTACCAGGAGAAGGAACTCTGAGCTATTTCTTGTGGCACAACTGTAGCCTTGCTGCTGACAGCCAAGCAGCTTTATGTAGGTTTTAGCCTCCTATTCCTCATTCAGATACATTTCTTCCTATTCTGTCACACGTAAGGGAGCCCTCAGCTTACCCCGAGCCCTCCAGATGGCCGCCCCGCCACACAAACCAACGCGATCGCTGCAGCGGCCTGTGCAGTGACAGCAAACCCCAGCGCAGCACAGCCTCCAGCCCTCTGCACCCAGCAGTGACACGGATGCATTCAGTTAACCTTTTCAGACAGGCATCAGGCACTATTGCATCCTCAGCCCCAATTCCTTAAAGCCGGCTCCTAATTAGTCACAGGCCAGATGGACTTGCATAACCTTGTGCTTTCCAACACCCTTCCTCTTCACCAGCTCCCTGAGGCAGAGGAGCCCCGCTCAGACACAGACTGTGCTCGGTGCAGGTACCAGGGCGATGTGTGGGCGCAGTGAAAAGCCAGCTCGGGTATCTCACATCCCTGCTCCTACCTGCCTCCCTCTACCACTGCGCCTGTGCTGGTGACTAGCTGAAAGAAAGAAA